TGGGACAACCGATCTGCTTGAGAGACGCTTACAGCAATCTGACTTTGTTTTGCTTTTGGCTAGGAGATTTATAGAAACTATTAGCATCAAAGCTGAACAAATTATGCACATATCATTTTCTTTAAATGCTTGAAATAGAAGTCAATGACATATTATTGGAGAACATAGTGGAAACCTGTCATGGAGAACAATCAAGTGTTGCCTACCCCATTATTATTACCATCATAAAGACATATGCATCAATGGTGTTTTCTATTAAGTTTGAGAGGATGTGAAGCTCTAACTATGATATGCGTCGCACCTATCTAGGCCATGTAGAGGATGTGAAGCTCTATGCAAGTGTTTAGACACTTCATAACTTGAAAGCCTTTTGTTTGGCTTTAGGTTGTCATCTATTTTATGAAATGCTTGAGAGATTTTTGTTTGATTCTTTAAATACTTGAAAGAAAACAATGATAATTTGTTATATATATGGCGGGCGATACAACTTTAGCTTGTTGCATGTTGATATAAAGTTTAACCTTCTTATCTAATTCCTCCTAATTGTAAATCGCATTAATCAAAAGTTAGATTCGATCTATTAAATGTTATTAGATATGGATTGGATAGAAATATCGTAGCCGATTATTTACAACGACGAATATGAACAAACACGCGGAATATTATCTTTAAGGGATTTTACTGACTTGTCTATTGATTTGGGAACAAGTCGCTAAGCATATGCGTAGATCAAAATATCGTAGATCTGAATAATAATTATTATAAACTCACACGACAATAGAGAAAAATTTCGAGAAATGTATAAAAAAAGCAGGCTGAGGAGTTCGAACCCACGCTCTTCTGTCTTGTCGTACAATATGGACTTCTAGACTTCCAAGATTGGGCCTTAGGGATAGTTACACTGGGCTTTGGACTGGGTCCCTTCTCTCCACCAATTCTACTCCCTGTTATTTTTTTTTGGTATGAGCTATCTGCTTTTCAATTTTGAGAGGACGAGGGGTTAACGTAACAACAAGCTGCATAATTCGACCTTCGTGGGATGATCTTGATGAGCATTTAGCTCTCAAGTCTCAAATGATTCAATTAACCTTGATCTCTATAATTTCATGCTTCTGCAAAAATGCTCAATATTCCCTTTAATGCAAAAATTCACACCAACCAATAGGTAAATATAAAAAAAAAAAAAAAAAACAGAGAAGACTGAAAACCTCTTATGACGAAATGACAACTATACCCCTGATGAACAACCAGAATTACAGACAGAGAGTTTTAGACAGAACAGGTGTTTCTCTCTCTCTCTCCGTTCACGTTCTGCAACATCGGAACCACGTACGGTTCCTAAGACTCCGTTCGCTTTTAAGTTTTAACACAGACACGCTTATAATAATAACAATTATACGACGAGCATTAAAAGGACGGAGAGAAAAAAAGTTTCCTCTTTTTCATTTCTTCTCCTTCCTTCGTCAGACAGATTCAGGTTTTGACTTTTTCCCATTTCCCGGTGCTGAGATCCGATTTCTCTCAGCGTAATTCGCACCTCCTTCTTCTTCTTCTTCTTCTTCTTCTTCTTCTTCTTCTTCTTCTTCTTTTCTTATTGGCGTCGTTGATTCGATCGGCTTTCCTGGAACATGAAGCGGATGATCGTAGGTACGCTAGAATTTCATTTTTTCCCCGAAATTGGCTTTGTTTTCCGATCCAAACCAGACAATTTGAATGTCTTTTGAGATTCAGTTTCATCATTGTTTGGTCTCTTTGAAAATCTAACTTGAAAAGCAATGTCGTTGACAGATTTGTTTCTTTATGAGGACCCACATTGTAGTTTGATTTCGAACAAGAACTGTAAATTTATTTATCAGAATATATCTTGCTGATTTGAAGAAAATATAACAGGATTATAGTCTCGGATAGGTGATGATTCCTAAGTGAAAAACAAAGAAATAAAAAAGTCAGAAAGATGACAAAGTTGAAGATTTTTTTGTCTTTGAAGGTTCCATTTTGGTGGGTCCTTTCAAGATAATGATTCCAATTCTTGGATTCACAGAAATGGCTGCCTTGTTCTCTTGACAATGTTTGATTGTGGACAAAGGAAATTACGTTGACTAAACTCAATGATAGTGTTACATATTTCGGTGTGACAAGGTTTAATTACAGTGGAATGAGTTATTTATTGTTCCCATTGATGCAGTTGCTAGTTACGGTGGATTGATGTTTGAAGTATTGAAAGGATAGAGAGGACGCAGAAATTTTGATGCGGTTTAGACTATAAAAAGGTGAACAATGCTCGGGAATCAATCTGCAGAGTTTAGCGAGAACGGGGATGATGAGATTAGCAGAACACTATGTGCAAATGGGATTTGCATGAAAACAACTTTAGTCGAAGCAAAGCTTGATGAAGGAAATATCCAAGAAGCTGAATCTTCTTTGAGAGAAGGCTTATCTCTCAATTTCGAGGTTTGTTAGTGATCTTCCCAAAGTTTCATGATTCCAACTTCTTGTCTCTCAATATTTGCTCACTCGTTTTTATGAGTTTACAGGAAGCAAGAGCACTTCTTGGAAGATTGGAATACCAAAGAGGGAATTTAGAAGGCGCACTTCGTGTCTTTGAAGGTATTGACCTTCAAGCAGCGATACAGCGGTTACAGGTCTCCGTACCGCCTGAGAAACCGGTTACTAAGAAAAACCGTCCCCGTGAACCGCCACAATCGGTTTCACAGCATGCTGCTAGCTTAGTGCTTGAAGCTATCTACTTGAAAGCCAAATCCCTTCAAAAGCTTGGAAGAATAACCGGTATAATAATCTCCCTTTAACATACTTAAATGCAGAGGTTCTAAACAATCTGAATCTTTTCCTTGCTGGATTTTTCATTTGCAGAGGCTGCAAGAGAATGCAAAAGTGTTCTTGATTCTGTTGAGAAGATATTCCAGCAAGGGATACCGGATGCTCAAGTGGACACAAGACTTCAAGAAACCGTTAGCCACGCCGTGGAGTTACTTCCGGCTCTATGGAAAGAATCTGGTGACTATCAAGAAGCCATCTCCGCTTATAGACGCGCGCTTTTAAGCCAGTGGAATCTCGATAACGACTCTTGTGCAAGGATTCAGAAAGATTTTGCAGTTTTCCTTCTACATTCTGGAGTCGAAGCGAGTCCTCCGAGTTTAGGTTCTCAGATCGAAGGCTCGTACATACCAAGAAACAACTTAGAAGAAGCCATTCTTCTTCTGATGATTCTCTTAAAGAAATTCAACCTCGGGAAAGCGAAATGGGATCCGTCTGTGATCGAACACCTTACCTTTGGGTTATCTTTATGCAGCCAAACCTCGGTTCTCGCCAAGCAGCTCGAAGAAGTAATGCCTGGTGTGTTTAGCCGTGTTGAGCGTTGGAACAATCTGGCTCTTTCTTATAGTGCAGCTGGTCAAAACAGTGCTTCGGTTAACCTTCTTAGGAAGTCTCTGCATAAACACGAACAACCTGATGATCTCGTGGCGCTTTTGTTAGCTGCTAAGCTTTGCAGCGAAGAGCCTTCTTTAGCTGCAGAAGGTGCGGGTTACGCACAGAGAGCTATCAACAATGCTCAAGGGATGGATGAGCATTTGAAGGGCGTTGGTTTGAGGATGTTAGGACTTTGTTTAGGGAAACAAGCGAAAGTTCCCACATCGGACTTCGAAAGATCTCGGCTTCAATCAGAATCGTTGAAAGCATTAGATGGAGCTATAGCTTTTGAGCACAACAATCCTGATTTGATCTTTGAGTTAGGTGTTCAATACGCTGAGCAACGGAACTTAAAGGCTGCGTCTCGTTACGCCAAAGAGTTCATAGATGCAACTGGAGGGTCGGTGTTAAAAGGATGGAGATTTCTCGCGCTTGTCTTGTCGGCTCAGCAACGGTTCTCAGAAGCTGAGGTTGTGACCGATGCTGCTTTAGATGAAACCGCAAAGTGGGATCAAGGACCTTTGTTAAGACTTAAAGCAAAGCTGAAAATTTCTCAGTCAAATCCAACAGAAGCCGTTGAGACTTACCGTTATCTTCTTGCGTTGGTTCAAGCGCAAAGAAAATCTTTCGGACCTCTCAGAACTCTTTCTCAGGTTTCCAAATCTCCTCTGTTCTTAATCTATTGAGATCATCAAAACCTTTTTTTGTTTTAACTTCTTACAAAATGAATAACAGATGGAGGAAGACAAAGTAAATGAGTTTGAAGTATGGCATGGCTTAGCTTATCTTTACTCAAGCCTCTCGCATTGGAACGACGTAGAAGTATGTCTGAAGAAAGCCGGCGAGCTGAAACAATACTCTGCTTCAATGCTGCATACAGAAGGCAAGAACAAGAACCCATCTTTTTTTAGCTAATCTTTCAAAAGTCTCTTTCTTAATTAGCTCAATTCTTGGTTATGACCAGGTCGAATGTGGGAAGGACGAAAGGAGTTTAAACCAGCGTTAGCGGCATTCTTGGACGGGTTATTACTAGACGGATCATCGGTTCCTTGCAAAGTAGCGGTTGGAGCGTTGTTGTCTGAAAGAGGGAAAGATCATCAGCCAACGCTTCCTGTGGCAAGAAGCTTGCTTTCTGATGCATTGAGGATTGATCCGACAAACAGAAAAGCTTGGTATTACTTGGGAATGGTTCATAAATACGATGGTCGTATAGCTGATGCTACTGATTGCTTCCAAGCTGCTTCTATGCTTGAAGAATCTGATCCTATTGAAAGCTTCTCAACCATTCTTTAAAATCCCAATAAACCATTATTACAAAGATTTATATCCTTTTATATATGTTCATTTTTTTTTGTTCCATCATCTCTTGTAAAATTATAACCTTCTTCATTTCTTTACACTAATATGGTTCTCCTCTGTTTTAGATGCTGAATCGAAAGGTTTCGACTTTTGTGAAAGAATATAAATTTTAACGTCTATATATCTCAAAATGACAAGAAACGGTATGAGATTTTCACAATTTGAACTTTTAGCATCAAAGTTGTGATTTTCGACGTCAACAAAAACCGGGATTCTAAACAGGTAACAGTGATTTAGCAATTGTATTACAAATTTCAACTCAAAATCCATAAATTCCGCAACTTCGAATACACAAATTTAACAAGTCAAAAGAAAACACATAGCAACATCTCTGCACTAGTTTTTGGGAATATTAACTCCGACGATTTTGGCCGGAGTAATACGGAGAAGATTCCCAGGCTTACCAGGCAAAGCTCCTTTGATCATAACAACATTCAAATCTTTATCAACTTTAACAATCTTGAGCTTCCTAATCTTCGTCTTGGTCCCTCCCATTCTTCCAGGCATCTTCTTCCCTTTGTAAACCCTTCCCGGCGTAGTTCCGGCACCGATCGATCCCAAAGCTCGATGACTCTTTGAACCATGAGTCATCTGACCTCTCTTAAAGTGATGCCTTTTGATTCCTCCTTGAAACCCTTTCCCAATCGTTGTTCCAGCTACATCAACGAGATCTCCTTCTTTGAAAATCTCGTCGAAGACGAGCTTCTGATTCGCCTCGAATCCCTCGACGTTTGTTAGCCTGAATTCCTGGAGATGTCTCATCGGGATTACACCGGCTTTTTGGAGATGACCGGTTTCCGGTTTAGTCAGCTTCTTGTCGCGGACGCGACGGTACCCGACTTGAACGGCGTCGTATCCGTCGGTGGCTAGGGTTTTGATTTGGGTAACGATGTTGCCTTCGCGGAATCCGACGACGGTTACTGGAACCACGGTTCCGTCTGCTTCGAAGAAACTCATCATCCCGAGCTTTGAACCCATCACGCCGATTCCAGCTTCCATGGACATTGAGACCACGAAAGGTCGTTTGGTTTTGGGAGATGATTTTGTGAGGAGGGAAGAGGATTTCGTTGGGAGGAAAGTTGGAGTGAACAGTGAAGAGGATAATGTTGCTTTTTGGAGTAAAGATGGGAAAGAAACAACCGCCATAGCAATCGCCATTGTCGGAGATATACAGTGAAGAAAGTGGAGAGGATAAAACTCTGTGCCACACTCTCTTATCTTCTTCTTTCTCCAACCTAAAAATCGAATTTTTAATTTGGACACTGACGAAATTTATCATTATACCCCTCAAAATACTCATAACTACAATACATTGCGCTTCAGTTTCACCTTTGACACATCAGACCTTAATAAATGTTATTCATTTTTTGGTCCTTTTTTCTTCTCCTTAACCTCTTTACTTCTTCGGTTGTTCCAAATTAAGATAAGTGTTTATATGATTTATTTAGCAGAAATGTGATAAGAAAATACTTGAATCCTCAAAGATGATTGTCTTAAAAATATATCACAAGGATATACTGTTTAAATTATTGTAAAAAACACTGAAGAAGAGTTTTATAAGATCCACCACACTTCAGGTCTTTCTAGTAATCGAATGCAGAGAGTTGAATGATAATGGTAAGTAAGGTTTAGAGACGAGATATAAGAAGCGGAACAGAGGCAGGTCCTTCTTCACCCATCACAGGCTGAAAAAGATCCAACTCACCATACCGCTCCAACACACGCATCCTGCAATCCTCAGCAGCCATCAATCCAGTTGAATAAGCGCCGTGAACCGAGCCAGGGAAGCTCGAGCTCGTGGCTTCACCGGCAAAGAATAAGTTATCAACCGGAACCCTAAGCCTCTCGTAGAGATCATGAGATTTTCCCACAATGTCATAGCTATAAGATCCCAGTGAGTTCACATCCGATCCCCACCTCGACACTAGATACTGTACCGGAGGCAACGCATCAGGAAGAATCCTCTGGAGTTGCAACACGGCCAAGTTCGCAGCTGCTTCATCAGACATTTTCTCAATGTCTTTGGCGAGCTGACCAGCCGGCATGTAAACCAGAACCGGGTGACCCGTGGCCTTGTGCAGGTTCAAAAAATAACTGCAGCCGTAGGAGGTTTCCGCAACCACTCCTAGAAACTCTACTTTTGGCCAGAAGACTTTTTCGAAATGAAGTATGATCTTGTTCTCGATTCCTACTCCGAGGTCGTTTATTGCTTCTTGTTTCCACTCTGGTAGCTTCGGTTCAAATTTTATCGTTCCTGCTTTTAAGACACCTAGAGGAACAGCGATCACTGCAGCATCCGCAACAAATGTTTCCCCGTTTTCTGTCGTTACCTTTACTCCATTATACCGCCTTACAATCTTAGTAACCCTGAGAAGCCAAAAATTAAAAAAACACAAGGTTATGACTATGAAATTGAAAACACTAAGAAAATTCCAAAACTCTTTAACGCAAAAGCATACCTGTGGCCTACTCGAATGTCAAGCCCTTTGGCCAAAGTATTGATGACAGGACGATACCCTCTAACCATAAGACCGTGTCCACCAGGCAGCAACTCCTCCTGCACATATTTTCCGAAGTTTAAACAAACAGCTAAGAAACGGTGTCTGCGTACTTAAAAAAAAACGTTAACTCCTAAGAGGGAGAATGTAACGAACCTGGTCCCAACACTTTGCAGATATGGTTTCAGCATCCGCGGCAAACCAACCTTCCATGCGACATAAGTACCATTGAAGTACATTGTGTGCAAGCCCCTCTAACCTGGATGTACCAAGTTCGATTATGAAACCAAGCATAAAAAAGTGTACTGAATTATAGAAATTAAGAAATGTGATAAATATGCATACAAACCTCAACTCGGGTTTCCTTGTAAATACAATTGAGAAAGCCTGAGATATTGACATGTCTGCATCTTGCTCATCCCTGACTTTGTTGATCTGCATTTGCGAAAGAAGAATCTAGTTAAGACTAGTGTATAACAAACACGACGATCAGAGAATATGAAAGAACAAAAGAAAGAAAAAAACAAATGAGTGTCAAGGACACATACCTCTTCCAAGATCTGCTCAAATGTTACGCCAACTTCAGTTACCAACTCTTGAGGAACTTGATTGCCATCCATATCAAACAGAGCATAGCTACAGAAACGAGAAAATGCACCGTGAGTTCTAAGCTGTCAAATATGAATTAAAAACCAGAAAAAGAAATAGAGGATCTACATTTAAAAAAAAATAGAAACTGTAGTACACACCTCTCAAGATCATGATCATACAAGACCGAATTGTCACCACTAGTACGATACAGGGGCAATCCCAGTCTCCCAATTACTGGTGCCAGAGGATTCTCTTTGCATACTCCGTGCAGCCTGCGACAGAGCTATGTTAGCAAAAGGTAACCAAAAAAGTAAAACATCAATCAAGGACAAGATCAAAGACTTGTGTTGTACCATGATGCACCAAGATCAACGGGAAAACCGAATGAGTAATCAGTGTGAACTCGTCCACCAATTCTGTCACGGGACTCCAGTACAATAACCTAAGTACAATGAAAGAAGAAAACATGAAGCTCCAATTTAGTTCTCAAGGAGGCCATAAGAACATCACAAACAGTTCCATTGTATAAACATCAAACTTGAAAATGCATAAAAACCTGAAAGGAAGCATCTTGAAGAGAACGAGCAGCTGAGATTCCACCAAAACCACCTCCGATCACTATCACCGACGGTGACCTTGTCTTCATCCTCTCACCAGCTGAAAAGCAATTAGCTGTGACACCGACAATATAATGAAGACAAGGACGAATCAACGACCGTTCAAGTCCAAGCAAGTTAACGACTTTAACAGAAGAAAAACTTGCGACAATCCTAATTAGGACTCTTCTTTTGAGTTTTGTTTATGTAATAAAGAGACATAGAACTCTGAGGCAACACCTAATTATTATATCAAAAGATGCCCAGAAAACAACAAATTAAAACGACGATTTACTCCCACACAAAATAATCGTGTGGTAATCAGCAAATACAGCCAAACAAGAAGACGGAATCAAATCACCGACAAATTAATCGGCACGAGGGCAAAATCGAGGACCCAAAAAAACAAAGCTTAATTTTTTTGTTATATAAACCAAACTACACACTTCATAATCCAGATGAACCCTAGATTCTTCGTATACAATTGCGCACACAGGGGGGGGAAATAAACAAAATTATGGTCGAAGGTGAGAGAATACAACAATACCTCTACGCATTTGACGATCAGAGTTTTTCCTCGACTCCATGATTTCAATTGATCAAACGATTACTCTCGATATTATTAGAATTACGATTACTACTACTAAAATTATAATTACTATTACTATTACACGGAAGCTGAGGGGAAAAATGAAGGATGAAGATCAGAAGACAAGTCGTGAAGTGGCTCGAAATCGAAGATGAAAAAATCAGGCTTCCAAACAAATTCATGCGATTTCTCTTTTCTTTCGAATTTTATTTCCCCTCTGTTTATGTTTTTCACTCTGCCTACTCAATCCGGCCAGTACCAACGTAGATCTACGACGATCGGCGAGATCGGATGCGTATTTCAAGCGAAACGATGGGGAAATCAAATCGCAGAAACGAGAAAGAGAGAGAGAGAGAGAGAGAGAGAGAGAGACAAGCAAGGTGATTTGGTTAGAGAGAGAAACTTTGAAGGAAACGATAATACTTCTAGAGAGAGAGAGAGAAGCTGAGACCCAGATTTTTTCGGCTTCGAATCCTATTGTCGGAAAAAGTATTTTAGGTTAGGTGCTTTATAATAATTTAAAAAAAAAACTTGTACTTTATAGTAAAAAGTTTCAGCTTTTTTTCTATTGGTCTGATTGGTTATTGACTACTTATTGTTATCTATTTAAAATTAATATTTATTGATTTTCAACCAAAAAAGTATATTATATTAAATATTATATTAAATTCTGGATATTAATTTACTGATCAAATCATTCATAATTTTTTATTGAGTATTACCACTTAATGACCAAGATAATGTTCAAATTAGGTGACACTTTCTGAAACATTTTTCTAGAGTGTTTTTAGATGAGAATTTACTAAACACTATTTTTTTAATATCTATCTTTCTCTCTTTTTCTAATTTTTTTATCTCTAACAAACAAAAATGTATACCACAGAATGAACCATTATAAACTTTAAGATTATAACAATCAACAAAATACAAAAAAAAGTACCACAAGTCTCATCTTTTCACAAATCTTTTTAGTACATTCGTCTTCATGTGCTGTTAATGTCTCTAACAATGTTATCATGTTAACTTTACAATTATTATTCGTAAATATACTGTATAAATTGAAAGTTAACATAAATATTATCTTTACAAAGTTATCATTACAAAGTTAACACAAATAATATCCAGATTTACTATATGTTAGCATGTTATAAGTATCAGATATTCTTGTTATCACGTTATAATTATCGGATATTATTGTTAACACGTTACAAATATCAGATATTATTGTTATCATGTTAACATATATAATTGTTATCATGTTAAATATGTTAACGAATAATATATAACGTATAATTATTGTTAATATGCTAATATAATAATTGTTAGCATGTTAACAACATATTTTTGATAATGAATAGTTGTTTTTGAATCAGATGAACAGTAACTTCGATCATATGATGTGCAGTGTCATCATTTTATTCTATCAAAAAAATCAGTTTATAAACCAATGGTATTTTTGTAATTATTTAAATTAGGAAAGGTGTTTTTTGAAGTAAATATGTGTTCTCTTTCGTATTTTACTAATTTTCAAATAAACTTTCTTATACACCTAATTTTGTAAACAACCATGGTTATATACTAAAATCACTCAAACATATTTACTGTTTTTGTTCTTTTTTTGTAGTCAAAATTTAATGTTTTTGTTAATTGCTTATTTCCTTAATTTCTTTTTTATATGAGAGAAAAAAAAAATCTTTGATTTCAACGCAAATTTTGAGGAATATTATTGGGTTGTGTATTTGCATTGATTTTGAAATTTAGATAATCTTGTATTTTACTTTGAAATTAAAAGGTAATACTATTGTATTAGACATACATATATACCAATATTTAAATACAAATTTCTGAATAGCGAGTGCTATATCTAAGATTTATCGTTATCTTTAGTAGAGTCGTTGATGATTTATTCAAAGTTATAGATTTATTTTTCGAAATTATTAGAAATATACTTGAGTAATTTTGTTTTGATGCTGATTTTATGATTTATTTCATTTTTCAATCGAGTCCTGCAAGTATACTTCGACGAGTTTTTTTCTGGTCTTATTTCACTTAAAGGAGATTTACATCCCATGAAAAAATATATCAAAACAGCAAAGCTTTTGGGTATGATCTATTGAAAGTAATAGAAGACTAGCTAGTAACAAAAGAAAGAAAAAACAAGAATTAGCCAATTAGGTAGATGAAGCCTTGCTAGCCAAGTGTCTCGAACTTTTCTGTCCACCGTCTTGAAAAATGCCTCTGCCGGGATGGAATTGTTGTTGAAGATATAAAAAGTTTGTCGAGTAGTTTTATAAGGATAGTACTAAAAATATAAATGTAAGGAAATAGCCAGAATGTAAATAAGCCTATGTATATCAATAATCTGATTCGTTTTGACGAGTGAAGTATATACACCGACCAATATCAACGATGTGGTCTTAAACATCTGCTAAACAAAAACTTTGACCAAATAAAGCTCTAAATTTCAGACAAACCGAAAATGGCAAACTCATAATGAATACTTTGTTTAATACCTCAGCTCGTCTATGTTAGATTTTTATTCTTTTTGTTCAGGTCTTTACATTTTCGTTGCGATAATTCCAGTCACCCATAGTTTTCCCAGCATTTGTGATAATCGGACGGGGTTAAATAATATACTAGAATACGTTAATAATATTTTTTTTTTGTTTTAAATAGATTAATTTAGCTCAGAAGTTGAAAATAGAAATATTGCGTATTCTTTTTGGCAGGCTTGATAAGTTACCCAGCTTATCAAGCAATGTGGTCCAGTAGGGAGCACGTGTCATGCGACCATTCGTCTTCCATCAGAATCAAGTGTGAGAACACGTCAGTTTTTTGTCTGAATCTGACAAATAATAAACATTTGTACTGTAAATATTTAGAAAAATTTAATCCAAAACGAAAGGGAGACTTCTAGACACTTCTAAATGATTTAATATGATGCTGGTAGCTATGAGTTTGGTTAGAATTGAAGACAAGCAAAACCTTGACAGCAATCTTAAAAAAAAAAAAAAAAAAGACTTAAGAACACCATGTTTATTGTTTAATCCTCCTTTTTTGGCAACGTTTTTATCCTCCGTTTAAAACTTCAAACATAACTAGAGTAGCATCAACACAGTATTTTGATCACCAATATATCTATATATCAAATCGGTTGCCATACCACCTATTAATCAATGTCTCGTATTAATCTACCAGAAGAGCCATACTCATTGTTTTGAATCAATGCACATTAAGTACTCAATCTTTATGCTTATTATGGCCTCGGTACAAAACACCAATGTCGTGGTCTCCATAAGATGTCAATGGAAGCATGTTTGTACCGTAAGCAAATCAATATTGTAATGGGTTTCGCAAGAGATAAATAAGTCCCCGTTATACTCTGATAAAAAAGTGCATCGAACATTCAATCACTTCCAAGCGAATGATTTCTATAAGCTCATATTTGTTAGTGAAAAAGCAGCCCATTTGCTTTATTCCTTAAAAACCAACAAATTCACTGATAAATTAAATAAAGAGCTTTACCAAAAAAAATACTAACTAAAGAGCGTCTGGATTATATGGGTGTGTTAAAAGATTGGCGTAGAACTATTATGTCGAAACTAAAATGCGACTATATATTGTACGATGCAATTGGATACACGTTTGGCTTGTTGTTTAAACATATTATTACAACAAAAACAAATAACATTCGAACACTATTTATTTAATCTGAAAGATGAATCATAAGTAGTGAAGAGTTGATACTTGATACGTTGTTGATCTGCTATCTTTTTTGTTGAGATTATACTTACCAATCATCAATTTGATTGCCGACCAATATTTGCATAGAAATTACAAGAGAAACTGATAGCTTTTAAGCCTATGTGGCTATTTGAATATGAATATGATTATCTTTGAGATTCCACTTTCACAAATTTTGATTCTCATTAACTGTTTTTAACGTCGATTTTTTTCTTCACTGAGGACTATTTCAATATGGAATAAATAATAATAACAAACATTTCACACAAAAATATCTAAGATATTTTACTCAATTATTGCTAGAATAGATTCTGACCAGTCGAGCACATGACTAAAAATTAAAATGTCGATGTTTGATAAATGACAGACGACTTTCATTGAAATCTGCTCCTTCGCATGTGACTTGCCTTTTCCATCTCTAAATTATTAAACAATAAGAAAAAAAGCATAGGTTATTCAACAATACGACATCATAAAAGATTAATAATTTATCAAACTCCGGCCAGATCTCTATGTCTCTGTCTCTGTGTACTTCTTAGAGCTAGATAGTGTTTCTGTATTTTTTCTGGTAACAGAACGAAAATAATGGAATACTAGATATTGATTCTTTGATCAAAAACAAAATGTATACGGGTCTGATTTTTTTTCTCAACCTTCTGGTATGATATTAAGGAATTCAATGTTAAAATGTTTTCAGTTACTCTGACAAATGCATAGCTATGAACTTATGGTCAATTTATCCTCATCTTTTTTTTTTTTACGGTTCAATACGATTACAAAAATCTCATCATGTCATTTTGACATCATAGTAACATACATAAACTCGCATATACAGAAAAAAATAGCGTAATGAAAGTTGAACGTTTTGCTCTATAATAGTGATACATCCTTGAACGTTTTAATTATGTTCAGAATTATATAAATAAAGAAGAAGAATTGCTCCAACAACCAAACAAACCAATACAGAAGAGAAGATTTGCCACGACATCCTAACAAGGACCGTCGGTGGTCTTCGTCGGCGCAGACGGTTGTTGACTTTGCTGTCCCGCCGGGAAACCAAATTTCAACATCTCCTCAGGCTGCATTTTAAAATCACAACACGTGTTACATGAAACCACGTCGTTTGTTTAAACCTAATGTAACGTCGTTTGTTTAAACCTAATGTAATGACCTCGTATTAACAATTAACTGAGCGACGTCGTATTAACATTAATTGAGCGACGTCGTATTAACATTAATTGTGCGACGTCGTATTAACATTGATTGAGCGAAGTCGTATTAACATTAATTGAGCGACGTCGTATTAACATTAACTGAGCGACGTCGTATTAAGCTTAAGAACACGCGGTCGTTTTTTATCCTCACCTATAAACTACGTCGTTTAACACCAAGGAAAACGTCGTATTACTTTACCTGAGACGCGGCCTGCATCGGTGGGATTCCGCCGACGTATCTAGCAAATCGATCGGAGAAGACCTGATTTTGTACCGGGACCTGACAAACTAAACCGGGATTATTCTGAATCGCAGACCGGTCCATAACCGGGAATCGAGGAAACGGTACCGGGTTCGGCATTTGACGAATGAACGGCGGAGGCTGTACTCCGGCTCCGGGATACATCATCGGAGCCGCCGTCGCCGCCGTCGCCGCCGCCATTCCACTTCCCATCCACATAACTTGAAGCTGTAACTGAAGTGATTTCAAGTAATCTATGGCTTCGTCCAAAATCGAAGCTTTATCGGTCTGCATAAACAAATCCAATTAACACCAAAAATTTACATAATCAATCAGTCTCCTTTATCAGATTCCATGTTGTAACTTACTTTACTGCAGTGAGGTATTAGTTCTTGCAAAGCCTTCATTCTCTCGTTTATCCTATCTCTCCTTCTCTATTTTAATTAACAGAGAGAGAAATAAAAAACAGAGTTTTGTATCTGTTTCTCTATAAAAAACAGAGTTTTCTCTTTAATTAACAATCTACTAACAGTAAACTATATAATATACGTATATATTTATCGACGAACCGATGAAGTACCCTTTCGGAGAGATTATGAACCTCAGCTGCTCGACTCCTTCGCGTTGATCCTGATCGTTGGTTCGACTTGTTACCAATAGCCTGCAAAACGTTTCAAGAGCTTTTAGCAATGGACCCAAAGAAACGTTTCGGGAACTTATAATCATTATCATGAGTTTAAAAAAATTAAAGCATTACATCTGATTGAGACACAGATTCATCAGTGTCAATTATATGTTTTCTCTTACGATCTGTTGTGATGCTTCTAATCCCACTAGCCATTTCTTTTATGTTCTTGCCAAAGCTGCAACCAGAGGAGCCACCTGATGATGAACTTGCGTTCGGGAAAAGCCTCTCATCGATGGTTTTGCTCTGATCATGACTCATTGCAACATCGAGATCGTTCTGAGATTGGTTGCTCTCGCAATGGCTCGGTCCAACGGTCACCACCGAGTACTGTTCCTTTCCTGGTTCCCTGACTCCTGATGATGAATCCGTTACCCTGAACTTAGGAGGAGGCATGACCGGATGAGGAGGGTCAGGACCGGTCTCGTGCTTAACCGACTCAGAGGCTGAGTCCGGCCTCTCGAGGGCATTGACGGTTGAGAAGAATTGGGAGGAGAAGTCGTCGGTTTCGAATGGATCTTCATCTGGAGGGTATTGGATCCAAGAGACGGTCTCTTGATCTTCAAGAAAGGTGTTGGATCTTAGGTTTTCTTGGTGATGATCTTGTTTCTGAGTTTGGACTTTTGTTTGCTCTCTGTGAGTTTGGCTCTGCATAACCACTTTCCCATCTCGCCATAACAACTCCACTAGGTCATCTTGTGGCCTAAACATATACACACTCAGATCTTAGAAAAGGAAATGTCTAATGGATAGATTACTCAAACATTATATACCTTATAGATCTTCGGTTAATGGAGAAATTGTAAGTCTCCTCAAAATTCCAACCTGGTTGTTGTTCCATGTCAGGTTTCTGGAGACATATCAAAACAATTTTTTATTAACCTCAAATATATAATATATAAGTGAACAGAGCTAATGATAACTTATGATTAAGAGATACAGAGGAGTATAAAGTAGTATTTTATAATTCCAACTCCAGTAGTTTAATTACAGTAATCATTATAAAATTTTAGAAATAATTAAATCAAAAGCAAGTTACATGAGATCGTTCCCCTGATAAACTTTTTCTAATATATTCCAGCAATCTAGGAAGGATTTAATAAGTAGACAGAAATAAAAGAAAAGGAAACAAACAGACTCCAAATATAGCAACATGCTATAAAACGGAAAGACCGTGTAAGAGTACTTACTAGATTTAGAAAGCTTATGGGCGAATCAGAAGTTGAAGGAAGAGATCGAAACCTATTTGTGGAAGTCGAAGTTCCACGCCCAACAAAAAGTTTTTTTTTAAAAAGGAAAGAAATAGATACAGAAGTTTCTCTTTCCTCTCACTCGTTTTTTCTCACTCTAAATAAACCCAAAGACCAGAAATTGTTGAGAAACTCTCATAAAAACATGAAAGAAACAGAGCAGAATGAGAGAGAAGAGAGAGAAGAGGCTATCTTTACTTTTTTTTCTGAGTACAGACAGAGAGTGACAGGAGCATAAAGATTAGGGTAGCGAGCGAGAAAGATATTACAGCGAGGGAGATAATGATTCTCTAAGGACAACAGTACTACAACCTTTCAGAATGAACGCCACGTGGCAAGTTCTGGGACATTATGTTGGAATCAATGGGACTCACTCACCGATAGAGATCTTCTTCTTTTAGCGATATGAGAGATCTATTGCTAGATTTCTAGAGGTGGTGTCTGATCTGTACCTTATCTACAAAAAAACTCTGCAAACAATGATTTGAGGGTGTTTTTGACAAATCACAACTCGTTTGGCTTCTTTCTCTCAACTTAAATATTTATTTTATAAAGCTGACGTTTTTAGTCACTATCCGCCAAATCAAATTACGGTTTTTTTTTTGGGTTATCAACGATGTAATGAAATCAGGGCCGAAGTATTATCTGAGTAAAATCATCGAATTTGAGGGAGAAAAGTCTCAATAGATCAAATCGCATTTAACGGACCGGATTCTATGGATATTAATTTACCCGAGCATTCTTATGCATCTTCACTAGTTGCCTTTCAATAACTTTTGTTTTTTGATAAACTTGCAAATTCTGTTTTGCAGTTTTGTTCTGTTTTGTGATTTTGAAAAAGATCTAGTGTTCTTCTTTTGATTTATATATCGTTTTGCATTTAATTCCGTTGTCGTAATAAGAACTATTCGTGGACCTTCGTGGACCACATCCCACACCGCTTCTCGGATTCTACTTCTAACATCATCACAATTGATTATAATACTCCATCATTTTATATATATATATATATAATTTTTGTTTTGGGTAAAGGTACATTTTCTCTTAATTGCACCGTGAAGATAAAAATTTAATCAATCAATCTCTAGAAACATTATTTCAAAAACTTTATTTTGATATGAACTTCAAGATTATTTCTTAGATTTAAACTGTGATAGCCAATTAGCCTTCTTTAATTATTCAAAAAACATAATGTTGTAGCCGGACAAACGGCACAAATAAACGGAGCAGACATAATAATGACAACATAACAAGTATTGAATAGTGTAAGTGGTCTTCTGAGTCTCCTCCATCCATAGCTGTCTTAACGTGTAACGATTATGGAGCATGGAAGAAAGATGCGCGTGTAAGTCGATGGGGCTTGGTTTTGAGAGACTCACGTGGACTGTGATATATAGATTGGACTTAAAGCTATACCAACGCAGTCCCCAAGTCTTCATGCATAAGTTCGGATCAAATGGGCAATGGAGAGTGTGAATTAGACTCGGTTCACTCATGTTTTGTTTGAAACGGATGCCAAATACGCCTTCTACATCAGCAATCAAGTCACCGGAATCATGGCCTTCAACGAAGGTTCTTGTCCAAAGATATTGGGAAGATAAATAAGGAGTAACTTTGATCTGGCAGATATTCAGTTCAACCATATATAGATAATCTAACCGAGTAGTGAACAACCTTGCAATACACGCTTCGGAATACGAATTATACAGTTACGAAAGTTTGTAATAAGGGCCTGTGGATAAAAGTCCAAAGAAACCCAATTTTTTGTTAGAAGAAAAAGGCCCAAAATTTTAGGGGGAGCAAAAGAAACAAAAGACAACCACTTTTGTAAGCAGTGTGAAGCCTTCAGGCAGGTGACGGCTGCATGGCGGCGGAGAATCGACGGTTATTCTTTCCGTCGCACCGAAAGTTTTTTCAGGCATGGAAATAACAAATGTCGACTTTTCTTGCGCAGTCGCTGTCTTTCTAATTTTGTTTGGGATTTACTTTTTTTCTTTGTAAGAGTATGAACATACCCTTTACAGAAACCTGATACTGGTGGATCCAATTCAAAGTTTCCCTCTTTGTATATCGAAGAAATTTTAAAAAGGTCGTTAATAATAGAAAAAGAAACTCAGAAAGGTTATGGAGTTGAAAAATTAGATATTATGTTCCTTTGACTCTCTTCTTCATTTGAAAAGTTTTATTTGTTTTGTCATCCCAAGAAGATTGGATTCGTAGTACTACTTTTTTTTGGGGTCTAAATGTTAAGCAAACTTTTACTACTTATTTCTTTAATGTATTTATTATGATAATATTCAACAGTCAAAATCTGGACTTTGAATGTTTTACAGATCAAATAGGTCACTTTCCCATTTGGCACAAGAGCTAAGTTATCGTTTGATAAATAGTTTTCCAATGCTGTCGTTTTAAACTTAATCGAACTTCAACCTTTTTTGTTTGTTTCTTTTTTGCTTTGTATGACCTATAATAAAGCTTCTTCTTTATGTTTTTGGTTTTTGCTCGCTAATTACTTAGAAAGTAAAAATAACAAAACAATCTGTAAAACACATCCCCACAATACAAAAACCAATCCTTATAATACTCGTAATTTTTACATCTTTATCATTTTTTATTTTTGTGATAATAACCAATAGGCAAAATGCTAAAAATACTCAAATTTCGAAATATAAATTATTGTTCTCGCTAAATACGTATAATATTAGCTTTGAGAATTACTAACTTTGTCATCTCGACTTCTACACACTACCATAGACTATTTAACTAATCATTAAAAACTATGTTACGTTCTTGTAAGATAATGTTAATTGGAATGGCTTATAACAAATGAAATCATGTAGACGTCACCTTTACCTCATTTTTTGACAAAAAATACCTTTATCTCATGCATGATTTACTATAGAGCTACCAATTTCTGATTTAGCAACGCTCCAATCGGAAACTATAAGAACTATTTTTGTATTGAGTAGAAATGGTGTCGTCAGAATATATAAAACTGTAAGTCTGTAATCTTCCAAAAAAAATTTTGGGAGGGACAAAAAATGTGAAATTACTATCTGTATTTCTTCTCTAGAGCAGAAGGTTCAATAAAAGTGTTTATGAGTTTTGATGATGACAAAAGGTTCAGTAAAACTATCTGCCATTTGTTGCTCGACAAACAACGATAATTAATAACATTCTATTTCCTCCGCGTTCGTTCTATTCCATTAGGCTTTGTTTCGTAATAACACACTGGTTCGGTTTGTTTTGTCTATTCGATATTATTTACTATGTTCTTTCTTATTTTGTTTGTAATCTTGTTTTAGTTAAAAAAAAATCTACAGAAAATTGTATGTTTTTTTTTTAATATAGAAATTGTATGTTTAGGTCTACAAAATAGTTATATCAAATATTTTGATTTATAACAAAACAAGTCAATCAATCAGATCTAGATTTTGAGGCTTTCACTATTTAAGTGTAGCTAACACTTTGGAGTTTAGAATACAGTTGAAGTTGATGATAGAAGAATGGTTATTATTTAATTGATTTGGTCTACCATCGACGTTCGTGTTTGGCTCCCCGGCTATCAAAAGAAGAGGCATATTTAAAAGTTATCTTTTGGTTCGTATGAGAATCTTATTTTATATATTTAACATCTTCTCAATATTTTGGAACCTTATAATATGGTCAAAGCACGTGAATTCACTTATACGTATGTATTGAAATTGAAATTACAGTTTTAATTTGTTATAATTACTGTATATATACGTAACAACTACGGATAACGACGTATTTGAATTTCGATGATATTACATTACATCATACACAAATTTATTGCAATCAGTGATCTAATTATTTTCCATTTAATGTAAAAAAAATAAAAATTATCTTTCATTTCCCTGGACTTTTCTGCATACTTACGACCTCGATAATATATAACTTATATGTAACACTATTTTTGTTTCGTTATCAAATTAAAATGTAAGTAATTATTTAAATTATGTAACATATTTGTTTTTGAAAAGTTCACAAACTTTAAAAACTAATTTAGATATCCTATATATATATATATTTGTTTTGATATCGAAATATCCTCTCTTTTTTTTTTTGAAACACAACTTCCACTTAACTTAATTTTAGAGCATGTATACTTGTTTTGATATCAAAACAATCTATATATTCGGTTGGATTCTATAATAGCAGTAATATTAAATTAGTATGGGGTTTCATTAAGATGTTGTGTGTATAATATTATAGTCAAAGTCAGTCGTAATTGACCCAGCACCAATTAAACGGCATAAAAATACTCATTAATTGATAAACATTTACCTATATATATGCATAGATAACTTTTTATTCAGAGAGACTTGATTGGTGATATAAAGAGGTCGATGTAGTGAAGATGAGTGGTGACGGTAGGGAGCATGAAGAAGAAGAAGATGAAACAACGCTTCCTGGATTCAGATTTCATCCAACGGACGAAGAACTTTTAGGATATTACCTTCGAAGAAAAGTAGAGAACAAACCCATCAGACTCGAGCTTATCAAACAGATCGATATCTATAAGTTCGATCCTTGGGATCTTCCTAGTAAGTGTTTTTATAATAGATCACTCTTTTTATAGTTATAGTTATTGATATCCTTTTTTTTGGGGACCTATTATTGATCATTTAGAAAGAAGTGATTTGTTTTTTCTTTTCGCTTCTTACTCCAATGATAGGATAGTAATTACTAATTGGGATGTTCATCATCAGAACGGATCAAAGCGATACAAAAGAGAATAAAATCTACCTGAAAAATCGATTAAGTTTCTTTTTCAATATATATCAAAATAAAACAAAACGCAAATAGAGAGATAGATATCTGGTCATGTTTCAGTAAAGAAATTAGATAATCGAATCTAGTGTCTCAAACCAAAAACCAAAATAACTTGGATTCAACACCCTGCTGAATTAATTGAAACTATTTAAACCGAATTTTTAAAAATCATAATCTGAATTGAACACCTTATTAATTAGTCAACTAAATATATATATATATATATATCATATAATAAAAAAAAAATCTGACGGTCATTTTTGGTTTTATAGAAGACAACTATGCAAAAGATATGGGACCATTTATATGAATAACATATACATAATAGATCTACTTCATAAACTCTTCTTTTTATTGTTCAAAGAAAAAAATCTACTCCATAATGTGTCTAATGTCTGGAATTATAATGTGTTTTCTTTGCCAAGAGTGAACGTGTTTTAATTTCTTTTTTTCTATATATAAATTTTCACGAAAGAGACAAATTAATATGAACATTTATAATGGATTTTATTAGGAGTGAGCAACGTCAAGGAAAAGGAGTGGTACTTCTTCTGCATGAGAGGCAGAAAATACAGGAATAGCGTTAGACCGAACCGGGTCACCGGTTCAGGTTTCTGGAAAGCCACCGGTATTGATAAACCGATTTACTCCAATCTGGTCTGCGTTGGTCTCAAGAAATCTTTGGTTTACTACCTTGGTTCAGCCGGTAAAGGCACCAAAACCGATTGGATGATGCATGAATTCCGCCTCCCTGCCACCACAAAATCTGACTCGCCAGCTGAACAAGCAGTGAGTTTCCTTTGAGTATTTATTTTTCTTGTGTTAGTCCACATTGTTTAATGAAAAAACAAACCGGTTTATTTAACCAAGAAAGGTATGCATCAGGCTAAACCATCTTGTCCATTTTTAGCGAGACAATTTTCTTATAATCGTGGTTATTAAATGCTTTAAAAAGTCAGTCACGAATGCATGATTCCATACGAGCTAGTATTCATCACATATTTTTTTTTCTTCCAAATGGGACCGACTTTTTAAAAGAAGTTAAAACTAGCTAGACTGGACTCTAACCTAAAATACCAATTTACACTAAAATCATGAGAAGAAAGATGAAATTAATTTCCAAAATACGTGAAAACGTCCACAATAGACTATTTTGTTTCCTTAAAAATCGTTTTATGGAATATAAGGTGTACATCCGTTTGAAATTGAAATTTGGTTTTAGTCAGCAAAATTATAGCCACTATAATATATCACCCATTAGTTTATGACTTTAGGTATTTCCCTTTGAATCAAAAGGGATTCGAGTAGCTATTGTGGTTCGAATCGGATTATCTTAGTAAAATATCGATTCATTCAATAACACTGGACAGTTATGTTTTTTTTTTTTTCTGAATAAAAAGAATCATATTATTATATAAACGCAATATCATAAATTGCTTTATGGACAATATCATTAAAAAAAATAATACTAATAATGGGGTCCGTCTTGTTTTTCGTAGGAGGTATGGACACTATGCAGAATCTTCAAACGAGTCACACAGCATCGAAACCCGACCAGCGTACAACCGAACCGTAAACCGGTTATCACCTTAACTGATTCGTGTTCTAAGACAAGCAGCTTAGATTCTGATCATACCAGCCACCACCGCGTCGTAGATTCCTTGCCCCACAAGCTACAAGAGCCGACACTTCAGCCACAGACGCAGACCGCTTATTGGAACCAACATACGGTTGGTTTCAATCAACCGACATATACTTGTTATGATACTAACTTCCTGAGTTTCTGCAACATCAACGGTGGAGATTTCATCGGAGACGCAGCAAGTTGGGATGAACTTAGATCTGTTATAGATGGCAACACTCAACACTTGTAATAATTTAGTTTCCTTTTTATCTCCTTTTTTGAGCTTTGTATAAAGGATAAAATAATACTATACGTATGTCGACACTACTCACCTATATAATATCAGTTCAATATTTAAAACGAAAAGAATTCAGCAAAAAAATATTTAAAACGAAAAGAATATTAAAAATCACATTTAAGACGAAATTACAAAATAAAATCAACACTGTAAAGACAGAGAACTTTTGTCTTATTCTTCTTGTTGATCAAGCAACCCGTCATTTTTCTCTCCTCATTTTCATTTTCTTTCTTTGATTAATCCACTGAGTCTTCACTTCCATTCAAAGAAAGAATATTCTCTAATACTGGAAAATGAATCGGGCTACATATAAATGAGTACACTCACAGAGAATCGAATTAGGATCAGTGAAATAGATTCTTGAGATGTTTAAAGAAGTAACCAGACACAATCTGATTAGTCTTCTCGGTCGGGTGAAAAGCGTCCCAGAAAACGAACTTATTTGCATCACTACAAGTTAACGGATTGTCCTGGCCGCAAAGAAATCCCATCTCGAACAATCCCGTGCCGCAACACGCAGAACTAGACACTTCTAGACCGTAACGTGATGGTTTGGTAACAATATCCCAAATGATATCATAAGGATTAGCAAAATAAATCCTCATTCCAATAAGCTCTTTATTCAGTTTCCTCACTAACATTCTCAATCTCCCATTGAAATCGATCGCCAAGTCATTGAAACTCCGAGTACAGCTAAAAGGGTCGTCAAGATTCGTCGCTCTTTCCAGTGGCAAACATCCCATTGGAGAGATTCCGGTGAAAGACATTTTCCGAGCACCTAGTTTGTAAAGATCCTTTAAGAACACCTCTGCGATACCGATGAGGAAGTCTTGGTACTGACTGATGCTGAACTGAGATCTCCTGTCCGGTAATGTGTAATAGTTCTCTAGGAAATCGTTGGTTCCTATGCTGACTAAGTACAGCGACTCTCGGATGATATATGCGGCTTTTCGGTGTCCGAGATAGGCCGCGAGTTTGTGTTGGTATTCCTTATAGTACTCGACTTCTTTCCATAAAGGAATCACGCCCTAAAACGTTAAAAGAGTTAATCATTTCGGCGTTACTTGTAACGCAAGAATCAGTTGATATTAGGTCGTGAAAATGAGGACTTACTAGCACTCCGGCGGTGGAATTGTCATAACCGGTGCCGGCAGAGGCGAAGCAAACTCCGGTGGCGAAATCAGAGATATTGTAGGACGGATCTAGATAGGCCGGCACGGTCGGTTTAAGACCGTAAGCCTCGGAAGTGAAATCAGACGAGAGACGGCCGTTGCAGAAGCGGCCGGTGGGGTGGCCGCCGGGGTAGTCGCGACCGTAAGGTTGGAAATTGGCTCGAGCCATGGTATCTATGAAGTTGTTATTGCCGGAGTCTACGGAAGAGTCGCCGAAGACAATGATCGCCGGGACTTTTGCTCCGACGATGGAGATAAGAGTGGTAAAAATAATGCATAATGTTGATGCAGATAAATAATGTGCTGCCATACCAACAACTTGCTTAGCTAGACGGCGATTCTACCTAGGAATTTCATCAGTATATATACAATTATATGGAGCATTTACTATTTAATATGCTTATTGCAAGATATGTACGAATTCTTGTATATAAATTGGGTTAATTTCAGTGTACTATAAGTTGTTCGAATTCGGTGGTATATATAGAATCAAATGGTTATTGTTTTTGTTTTTGTTTTTAAGAACTTAGAATTTAAGATATTGTCGTTATTTGAATATTCTTTAAAAAAGCATAATTGAGTGACTTTTGTTTATCTATATATAAACTTGATTAAAGAACCAAATAAAAAACAGGATAGAGTTGGAAGTATATACAACTATAATATTTTTTGAAGTGCAGCTGGATGTATTTATTGAATTAGAAGCTTTTTAGGTGTATGATATAATGCGTGCATGCTCACTGCGCTCATCAACAGATATGTACCTAAAAATTAGATGGGCTATTTTTTTTTTCACAACCCTACAATACCTCATTCAAATGTGGTTGAATTCTAGTAATGAGAAGGTAGTATATAAGTGAAACCGCTGAATAACTACAAATTCCGGCTAGAAATGAGGTTTTTCAAAATGAATAATGTTCCAACTTTAAATCATAGACAAAAATAACTTTACCTATAAATAAAATATGATATAAGTAAGGCTCCCATCTACCAATGATGTGGATTCGTGTAAGATGCATGCAATAACTCTTTATGCATCTCTCTGTATATCATAAAATGTAGTAATGTATTGTGAAGGTGAGAAATCTGTTATATTATAAGGGTATTATAGGTCATTAAAAAAAAACAACACAAATAAGGGAATATGGACAAGGCAAACAAAAAAGAAAAGAGAGTAGAAGAAATAGTGTGGAAGTGGTCGGTCCAAAAAGGGACATTAAATTTTGGTTATAGAGAGGGGTGAGAAAAGTGGGTGGTGAGGTAGTAAATGAAACGGCACATGTACATCGCTAATAATTATTACAATTACAATAATGTAGCTCCGGTGGTTGCACCCCCACACACTTATAATTTCGTCCGACCCCTGACCCGCATGGTTCGCAACAATCATATCATATAGACTTCATCACTTTATATGTAAAAGTGTTGGTAGCTGTAGACAATTAGGTTTCTAGGTCAAGATAGAAGTTAAGAGTCATCTTTAGGACTTCAAACTAGTAATTAAACTAAGATTTGTATTTCAGTAGATATGGAAAAGTCTTCTGATGTCACATGTCAATCCATTTAGTTTTTAGAACATTTGGAAACATTTTTCATAGATGCGATTGTTAATTGAAAAAAATAACGTATCACGGCCGTAACAATGTTTTATATTTCAAATGCTATTTCAACGACGATCTCATAAGATTATCAATATCTTATTTTATTTTCCTTCAAATAGATCATAACTTTGAGTATTGAAAAGCGGGTAAATCTTTACTCATTTTCTCTCTTGAGTTGTATATGGATTCTTATAAAAAAAAATTGGAAATCTTATTCGTTTTTTAAAATCTGTACAGAAACATACATGGCATGTGGTTCATTGCTTAATTGCTTAAACAAGATTCCATAGTCTAAAGAAAGAGTACTCTCTTTGACAATATGATTTCTCAATTAATTAAAGTTATCCGATTACGTGAAATCTTACAAAAATAGTTTCTCTTTATAAATTTCTGAACAAATAATCGAAACTCACCATGTAATTAAGATGGAGTCTTTACAATATCTTCCTTGAATTTAGCTACGCCAGGTGTCTTATGCAGACTGTTTTTATTTTTTGTTCATTCTGTTTGATTGATTTGTTCCCGATAACCGATAAACTATTCATGATGCTTTCACTTTACAACAACAACAAAAAATGGTTGACGTCAAACAAATCGGCTACAATATAATAACACCGATAAAAATGTGTGTGAGATGAGATACATACCCTTTTTTTTTTATAAAAGAGATGAAATACATCCTTATCAATGATTTATGATCCATTTGTTTTTAAAATAAGAAAGGTAGTTTTGAATGATAAAAATGAGGATACATTGGAATTACGTGCACACTTAGAAATGAATGTTTGGTGTCGATTATACTGTCAATGTTAATCTGTTTGTTCATCTCAGTCTGGTTAGGAACACGTTACACTTGCACACAATCCTCAAAGTCAAATTCGGATATTTTGTTTTATTTCCTAAATAGTGTTGCAACGGAAAAGTATTCAAGTTTTCCAAAGTTTTGGTGCATTTCCAACATAGGTTGGTTTACCTCAATCTTTAATTAATTAAAATAAAGAATGTGAATAACTGTTTACATATGGTTACTCACGGTCAAACACACTTAAGAAGACTCTTCTACAGTCAATTAAAGTATGATAGTCTGATCCCTAACGTGACCTCAGTTAAATATATGTTCTCTGATTAATGGAGTCACATCTAAAAGACTAAAACTATACAACAAAACTAAATATGATTATCAAAAGAGCTATCAAAACCAATTATATTTTAAAATCCCTATATTGTGTAAATAGTAAATAGAATTTGATCAGAACAATAACTATATAAAAATAAAATTACTGAAAATATATATATATATATATATATATTATAGTCTCTCTAGTTAATCAATACAAAATGTGTTTGTTGAAACAAAAAATTATAGCCACTCCGCTTCTTGTTGAATATAGATATATTACGATATGATATTTATAGATCATCATTTGATAAATACCATAAGATTATGATGAATGTTGATGTGATCAATAACAGTTGCGATTTATCTTTCGTCATAATATTTTGGTGAAATTTCGAAGTAATGTTATAATAACAAATGGTGTATTTTTCAGCAAAAATAAAAATCCATTTTTTCTCAATAATGAAATGAAAATCTATTTGAATTTGACAAAATTCTTATTTAATATTTACTTTTGAAGTATTTTATATATATATAAAAGACAATCAACTTTCTCTATATACTTAATACATCAGCATTGGAGAAGTTGACTAAATAATAAATTTTAATATTAAATTTTAAACCATTTAAAAATATGAAAAGTTTGTATTAACTAACATTTATATAAGCACTTAAAGAATATGAAAAAAATTGTATTAACTAACATTTATATTAATGTTAAATAAAAATTTATGTTATAACTAATTAAAAATATTGATAGATATATATTTAATTTTTATATAACTGTTGATTATTTAATAATATTCAAGATGTTAAAATTAAATTTTAAAATTATTTATAATAAAATACTAATAAATAGTAAATAAAATGATGATTAAGATTTCAATTTTTTTTTATTAATTAATTATTAATTAATATTTGTGTAAATGTCAAACAAAAATTTATGATATAACTAATTAAAAATATTGAATGATATGTATTAATTTTAATATAATTTTAGATTATTAAATAATATTCAATATATATTTTAAATTAATATTTAAAAACAAATTTAGAATAAAATATTAACAAATAAGTAAATAATAAGTGATGATTATATTAACTTTTATAAAAATATAACAAAAAAATCGAAAAATTTGAAAAGATAAATCCGCACGTTACGTGCGGATATTCACCTAGTTAGTATAATACCAGCTATAAATATGTAGAATAATAAATTACACATAGAATTTGAACGAATTTGAAAAAAAAGAAAAGGTTTAAGAATTCCGTTTGTTTGAACTGGTCTCACTAAAGACCACCTACAATATTCTACTAACTCGATTTTATATATTTTGAGAAATTGAATTGTATATTTATTTTGTATAATTAGTTAATTCGAGCTCGTTGACTTTCAGCAAATCCTACTTCCCTTGCTCTTTTATGTTAGCTCCTTTGTCTCTTTGATCATTCCTTCATTTATTCGCAATTTCCCACTAAGCTCTTCCGTATTATTCCGAGCTCCATAGTCGCCGGAGATCTCTCTCTCTCACTCTTTTCTTGTTCATTTTTATTTCTTTAATGGTTTTATTAGTAATCTAAGCACCTTAATTGATGTCGACCAAACTAAGCATTATTCTTGGCCTCATTTTCTTCATCATCACACCATTTTCTGGTGACTGTAGAATCCTTTCCGAGAAACATGACCATGATTCTTCATCCTTTTACGGCTTTAGTTTCCAAGATTCGATGCGTTCTAGTTCTGTTTCTTCTTACACAAGCAATGATTGCGGTTTCTCCTTCACAGGACATGATCCTGCCAAGGATCATACCGGAGAATCGGTGAAGTTTCAACTAAAGCGCCGGGATATTAAACAAGAAACCAAGAGAACAACACAATCAGTTGTCGATCTCAAAATCCAAGACCTCACAAGAATGCAGACGCTTCACACACGGGCTAAGAAAACACAGAGCCAGAAAAACGAGATCTTTAAGAAGAAGATTACCTCAGTTCTTTCTCCGGTGAGAGCTCCAGAAGCTTCACCGGGGAACCTGGTGGCGACACTCGAGTCTGGTATGACGCTCGGTTCTGGTGAATACTTCATGGACGTGCTTGTGGGAACACCACCAAAACAGTTCTCATTGATTCTTGACACAGGGAGTGATTTAAACTGGCTCCAATGCCTTCCTTGCTACGACTGCTTCCACCAACACGGCGCCTTTTATGACCCGAAAGCGTCTGTTTCATTCAAGAACATATCATGCAATGACCCTAGATGCAGCCTCATCTCATCACCAGATCCTCCAGTACAGTGCAAGTCGGATAACCAATCATGCCCTTATTTCTACTGGTATGGAGACAGATCAAACACCACAGGAGATTTCGCGGTTGAGACATTCACCGTTAGTCTCACGAACTCCGAGGGAGGAAGCTCAGAGTACAAGGTGGAAAATATGATGTTTGGTTGTGGCCATTGGAACCGAGGTCTGTTCAGTGGTGCTTCAGGTCTGCTTGGGTTAGGAAGAGGACCTCTTTCGTTTTCTTCTCAGCTTCAATCTCTCTATGGTCATTCCTTTTCTTATTGCCTTGTCGATAGAAACAGCGACACCAATGTAAGCAGCAAGCTGATCTTTGGAGAAGACATTGACTTGCTGAACCACCCAAATTTGAATTTCACATCTTTTGTGAACCACACAAATGCTGTGGAGACATTTTACTATGTACAGATCAAATCCATTCTAGTGAACGGCGAAGCACTGGACATACCTGAAGAAACATGGAATATCTCTTCAGATGGTGCTGGTGGAACCATCATTGATTCAGGTACAACCTTAAGCTACTTCACGGAACCAGCGTATGAGATCATCAAGAACAAGTTTGCAGAGAAAGGGAAAGACAAGTACCCGGTGTTTAGAGATTTCCCGGTGCTAGATCCTTGCTTCAACGTGTCTGGCGTGGAGGAGAACAACATTCAGCTGCCTGAGCTCGGGGTTGCTTTTGCAGACGGCGCAGTGTGGAATTTCCCAGCCGAGAATACATTCATTTGGTTAAGTGAGGATTTGGTTTGCTTGGCAATCCTAGGAACTCCTTCATTCTCGATCATAGGGAATTACCAGCAACAGAATTTCCATATACTATATGATACAAAGAGGTCTAGGCTAGGATTTGCACCCACAAAATGTGCCTGATTTATAACCTCTTATAGATTATACACATAAAGTAACTGTACACAAGGTAACACTTGAAGATCCTAATCAAATAACACATAGAACCGAGACTTCAAAAGAAAAGATTTATACAAGCTTTGTTCATTACTGGATATCTTTCATTTTGACAAAATTATGGATTTTTATTATACTTAATTAAGGGAAGAGTTGAACATAGCCAGTCAAAATAGCGATCGCTAGGATCAACAAAGGTGGAATGATTACAAAGGCACCGATGGTAGCAAAGAAAACAGAATCATTCCTCTGAGAGACCTCATTAAGGTAGGTTTGCCTCTTAATGTTCCTTTTCTGAGAAGTGGTTAAGAACTTAGGACTCACTTTTTTGAGGTTTTTCCCCAAGGGAATGGTGAAATCGTCGTCTCTGTCGCCAACAAGCCCAGCCAATTGGTCACGGACTGTGAGTCCCCTCGAGCCACCACCACCACCACCACCATCACTCAAGTAACCTGATGATTCATAGAAAAACGCTTTTACGATTTTGTTAAAAACCAAAGCACAAGAGTAAATAAGTAGCAGTCATGTACCGTCGCTTGTGGAAGTTAGCTGTTCGAGGAGATCTAGTTGTGTCCGTGCTGATGAGGAAGAAGAAGAAGAAGAACCTGAAAGGAGACGAATCGATTGTTAATAAAAACTCAATAGAAGAAAGTTGTTTCTCAATTCCCAAGTTCACCGAAGAACCAATTTGGGAAAAGTCCATAGCTTTACGAGACCCGCAAAAACCCTCATTTGAAATCAGAAGTACCTAAGCTCATCGACATGAGAAAACGAGAATCAAACAGCAGAAATCGGATCATGTACCAGAGAAATAAGACGAAGAAGGATCGTCGTTATTGTCGGTGACGCCGCTTTCGCCGCGCTCAGAACGTACGCGTGTTGCTGGAGGAGTAGATGGTTGCAGAAGGAGGTGCTTCTGCTTGGATCGAGACGAAGAAGAAGAAGAAGAAGGAGAAGGAGAAGAAGAAGATATCGGGTTCGAAATTGGATGAAGAGAAGCGGAGAAGAAATTCAAGGCCATGATCTAGAGAAAGGCTGACACTTCCACTGCAAAATTTCGATTTTTTGTTTCTTTACTGTTCCTCTGGAATTTCCGATTTTTGAGAGGCCAGGAAAGTTTTCAAATTTTATTTGGAAAAAAGAATATCTGAACCAAAATAACCGCTTCAATTTGATTTATTTTAAAAAAAAAAAAAAAATGGAAAAACGACTCCACTGGAGTTCGAACCCAGAGTCTCTGGTTTCGTAGACCAGCGCCTTATCCATTGGGCCATGGAGTCGTGTTTGTTGAATGATTTCAGTTATAACATAATACCCCTAAATACTAAGCTTCAACTAAACTCTAATTTCAAGTTCATTTTTGCCGCAATAAAGATCACGACACAAAATTACTACATACTGAGATCTATATTAAAGACAGCAAAGTAAGAATTTTAACATTTAATTGACTAAGATATCCAAAAACTTACAACACTAGATCATAAAGGGTTGCTCATGAATATATTTGTTTAATACATATGCCAACTTCGTAACATAAGCCAACTTCATAAAAGGGTTGATGTAAATAACTATATCATCCTGAGGAAAAAAATGTTTTGCTCTCTTCTATACTCAAATAGATTAACAGTAATCGAAGTAAACATATATTGTATCTACAAATTTTGAGATAATTATGTATAATAAAATTCGAAAACACTATCTTTTATAGTGAGGCTTACCTATGTCACTTCTTTTATATTGTTTGCACTGTTTCTCATATGTTGATGGAATTCCACTATGCTAAATGATGGGAGAAGAAAGTAGCTCTAGATATATAAACTGGATAGTTAATTTTTGAACACTTATATTTATATGTTTTACGTAACTCCCTACTATGAGAGATTCACATGTATATCTCCCACCAATTAAAGTTTTATGTTGAGGTATTACCAAGGCCGGATCTGGGAACAGCCTGATGAAACATCCGCCTATAGCCTCTAAATTTTTCTTTGGTTATTTACGAATTTTTCAGCCCTCAAATCACAAAAAAATATTTGTTCTTAAATTGTTTCTAACCCTCAAATTCTCAGATCCGGCCTGGGTATTACCGTTGTTTTCGAGCTCCAAACTCTCAGAAATTCTTAAAATTAATGTATATGTATGATCGAAGCAAAATTTTATATTTCTAATTTCTTAAATTCAAGCGAATTTCAACTACTTAGTTTATAAGCTAAATTAATAATAGTTGTTAGATGAGTGAATCTCTTTTGTTTTTCATGGGATTTGAACCCTTTATTCTTGTTTGTTATGATGTCTGATTTGCCAAAACAAACTTTTGCACATTAGATATTAGATATGAAAGTTTTTTGAATTTGTGATCAGATTTTAATGACACTTGGTTATTTGCATCAAACCCATGTGATTCATTATATACATAATTATATACATAACTAGATGTTTATAAAGAAAAAAGCATTTTGACAAATCGGCGTCAATAGGAGCATAAATTTAACACATGGAAAACATTGTAGTGTATACATAATTGATCAAGAGTAATCATTATTATTTTTCCACTTTCCATCACAAAACTTGGGAGAATAATACTGAGGACGAATCTAACTCAAAGGAGGTGTAAGACACGTGAGTAGCACGTGATCACATGGCGGCAACAACAATATTCAGGAAACTGGCCATTCTTTCTCTGCAAAAACCTGGCCATTGCCTGTAAACCCCACCCACCATCAACCAATAAGACCACGACCAGATTGCAAGTGCAAATTTTTTAATAATAATACTTAGGGACTTAAAATGACTATAATTATGTTAAAAAGCTGATAAGATTTTTTTGTTATTTTTCTTGGCAAAAAAAAAGAAAAAGAAAAAACTTTATCCAAAAGTTATGCTTCAAGTAAAGCCTCCATCAAAGGCTTTTAATCTCTCTCTCTCATGGATTCATTATCTCCAAGAAAGGCACATTGGTTTCTTTACTTATGAGTTTGTAACATTCCCCAAAATAAATATACATATTTATTCTCTCGAGCCAAATATCACAGTAAAATTTCTTCAATACATGTTTATCATAAATAATTTAATGAATGAGCCATTTTCTGAAAAACTTATTGAAGTAAACAAAAATATTAATTTAATTTCATACTTAGATAGAATCCAAATTTGACATGTGATTATGTGAAAGGAAGAAAAAAAAAGGCTTATTGAAGAGTGAGAATATAAATAATAGACCCATCCTTGCTACAAAAAAAAAGAAAAGAATAAATAATAGACCTAAAATCCCAAAGCCTGTGTTTTGGGAATTACCTCTTCTGTGCTTTGCCTCCCTATCTCTATGATCTATCCACTTCATTTTTTTTGTGGGTTATTTTAACAATAATTGTTAAAAATCTTTTTTTTTTTTTCAACCAGCTATAAATGTCACAGTTGACAAATCCACTGTCATTGCTTTACCTTCACTGCTCTCTCTACTCTCTCTCTATCTCTCTTCTTTCTCTCTCTCTTGTTTCCTCCATTGCAAACAAAGCTTTCTTTCCAGCTTTAGTACATATCACCAACCATTTTCACCAAACTTTTTTTTTCTCTCCGATAAGCCATTACTCTGTATTTCTATATACGCTTCCTTGATATATTATGATTCTTTTGATTTTGCTCAGATTTTTTTATTAAAAAATCATAAACCTAAATCGATTCCCTTCTGGGTGGACTCAGAGCTAAGCTCTCAAGAGGAACTTCATCTCGAATTCATCATTGGTATATATCTTTGCCAATTGATTTCTGTGGTTTTTGTCTATTCCACTATCATTCAGGTTTGCTTCCAAAGGAGAATAAAAATGGAGCCTTTTTTTTTTCACCGTTGTTTCTTCTGTTCTAAGATGAAGATAAATCAAAAGGGCAACCCCACACTCTAATGTAAATTTATGCTCTTTCTTTTTTGTTTCATGAGAAGAAAAAACGTTTCTTTTTTCCCTGAATGTTCTCTCTAAATTGTCTCTTGCTTCAAACTTAAGTGATGTTTTTTCAATGGTTTAAAAGCCGGGATTCTCTTGTTTCTCGACTTCCATCCTTTGTGGGGACACGTAGTGCCCATGACTTGCTTGTTGATATGCCGCAATTATATTACTGATAAAGTGTGCGTTTTTATTTTTTACTATTTCGGTGTTTCTGTGTGTGAAGGGTCTTTTTACTTACGTTCACTAGGTTCTTCCATCTGACATCAGATTTGAGTTACACAGAAACTGAATTAAACACTTCCATTGCTTTTAGGATTTATGTTTCCGTGTATACATGAGAAGTGTGAAAGTCTGATATCTCCTTAGTCGTTATGTGATGTTTGCAAGTGTTTAAATCTGAGACATGCTCTTTGTTTGTGTAGGTGATTATAGTGAAGTTGCAAGAGAAGCAAAAAGAAGGTTTTTGGCAACTAGATACAGAACCGGAGATGCCACCTGACAGTTCTTTAAACGCTGAAATGTCAAAGAAGATATCATTTTTTGGTTTGAAGGGCTTGAAGTTGTGGGTATGGGTTTGCCTGGTAGTTGGAGTATTCATAGTTATGATTCTCTGCATCTTGTCTCTATGGATCACATTCCGCCGGAAATCGAGAAGATCTTCAAGCAAGTTCCCTTTCAACCAAATACCACATGTCTCCAAAGATATCAGAGTCGACAAGGCTGGGTTTCAGAGTCACAATCCTCAACCTGAAAGTTTATACATCGCAATGAATGATAAATCCACTGACAGAATTTCTGGAAAAACTATGATGTCTCACTTGGGAAGAACCAAGTCTAGTGATAATGATACTCTGAGCCAATGCAGTTCTGTGAATCACCATGAGAGAGCTTGTAGTTCTCATTCCGGTGAAGAAGGAGGATTTGGAAGTGCTGGGAAACAGTATGGAGGACTTGTAACAGCATCTCCTTTGGTTGGTTTACCAGAAATATCCCATCTTGGTTGGGGACACTGGTTTACTCTTAGGGATCTTGAGCTAGCCACCAACCGTTTTGCAGCAGAGAATGTGATCGGAGAGGGTGGTTATGGAGTAGTTTATAGAGGTAAACTCGTAAATGGTACCGAGGTTGCTGTAAAGAAGCTCCTGAACAATCTGTAAGTTTTCAATAGCAATAGTAGATGTTTGTTAATCCTATATCCCAATGCTTCGTTTCCTTAATATTCCCATTGTCAATTTTGGTCTCTAGAGGGCAAGCTGAGAAGGAATTCCGGGTAGAAGTTGAGGCTATTGGTCATGTACGACACAAGAATCTTGTTAGGCTTTTAGGATATTGCATAGAAGGAGTTCATCGGTGAGGTTCACTCGTCTACTCGATTAATTTTATACATCTATCTACCACCGGAGAAGAATGATTTTTATTTACAGTGTCTAATCGAAAATGATGAATGCAGGATGCTTGTTTATGAGTATGTGAATAGTGGTAACTTAGAACAATGGCTACATGGAGCTATGCGGCAACATGGCAGTCTCACTTGGGAGGCACGGATGAAGATCATTATTGGTACTGCACAAGCGTAAGTGGTTATTAAGTGTCTGTGTAAAGTTAATTGCCTTTAATTGGATATTAAAAGGGTCTGCAATTGTACAATTTTATTTTACAGGCTTGCATATTTACATGAAGCAATAGAACCAAAAGTGGTCCACAGAGATATAAAGGCAAGCAATATATTGATTGATGATGAGTTTAATGCAAAACTCTCTGACTTTGGATTAGCAAAGCTCTTGGATTCTGGTGAGAGTCACATCACAACCAGAGTCATGGGAACCTTTGGGTAAAGTCCAAAACTTTGTACCCTCCTAAGGCCATAATAGTTAATTATTGTTTTCTGCAGATGATGTCCTTACAAAGAAATAATTGCTGTCTTTTGATTATTGTTTCAGATATGTAGCACCAGAATATGCTAATACAGGTCTGTTAAACGAAAAAAGCGATATATATAGCTTCGGTGTTTTGCTTCTTGAAGCTATAACTGGACGAGATCCAGTTGATTATGGACGTCCTCCTAATGAGGTGAGGCTTAATTAAATTGTGTCATTGTATCGAAAAAAGTGTGATGAATATGTTCATTTCTTGGAATCTTGAATGGGTTTTGTGTTTTGGCAGGTAAATCTTGTTGAATGGCTAAAGATGATGGTTGGAACAAGAAGAGCCGAAGAAGTTGTGGATCCAAGACTTGAACCTAGACCGAGCAAAAGTGCTCTGAAACGTGCACTTTTGGTTTCGCTTAGATGCGTCGATCCTGAAGCAGAGAAACGTCCTAGAATGAGTCATGTTGCGCGGATGCTTGAATCCGATGAACACCCTTTCCGCGAGGTATAAATATTTTATAATCAAAGCAATATGATGGTGCAAGGCTGCAACAAAATTGTTTATACGTTTCCGTATTTGTAATAAATCAAAACAAAATAATTCATGTTTTTGGCAGGAGAGGAGGAACAGAAGGAGCAGAACCGCGAGCATAGAGATTGTTGAGACCAAAGACGAATCTGTTGGTCCTAGTGGCGCAGAGACTCGCATTACAAATACAAAGCTTGAGAAGGGTAGTGAATAAGAGAAGTAGACGTGACACAAACGCCATTTAGGCTGGCTCTGTAGCTTCTTCAACTGTTCTTGCTCAAAAGCTCTGTTTCTACTTGGCAACTAATTGATCGATGATAGCACACACACACACACAAACAAGTTTGGTGCCTGTGGAGAGAGGCGAAGAAGACATCTCTCACACATGATCAAAATGAGCCTAAGAGTGAGGACTGATGCAATCTTATGAGGCATTTTGGTTATGTTTTCTTTTTTTTTTTTAGTTTTTTTCTTTACAAATCAGATGGTTTGATAAGATTTCCTGTCTTGTTTGTACGGAATTTTTGTTAGTCAAAGACATGTGCTCAAAATGCTGTGGCGTAGGAGAGAGGGAGTGAGAGACGTCATTGTAGAAAATCTATTTAATCGATGACGTACGCAGAAAAAGAGCATAACGACGGAAGAAAGAGTTCAAAACTAAGTTCAATATTAGTGGCTAACTTACTTAAAATCATTAAACACAGTATTGATTATTGAACAAGGACGAAAAAAAGGAAAGGTACGAAACTGAATAATTAATACGGAGTACAATTGTATTAGTCTTAAGGTCTATACAAACCTTTTGCTTTCCTTGCATTATCTGTCAAATGTTGCGTCGTTTATGTCGTATTGTTTTTTGTGATTCTCACTTTCTCATAGTCATTATAAAATTGTTGAATTTAGATTCTTGGACACTTTCAAATCACGTGGCCAGTTAAAAGCTACAAAGAAATTCCATAAACTCTGCATACCTATCAAATACATTAAGAGAACACCGAATTTATGAAACCAATGCGTCTTTAGTTCAAAAATCATACAATGTTTTGCTAAGTGTAAGAGAATAGAGAAGGAACTTGACATACATTCTAAGAGCGTATGAGATAGGGAAAAAAAAGCCAAGTATATGGGATTGTTTGCAAGCTAAAAATGCTATGCATATCCACAGAGGTTTTTTGCCTTCAGGGTTTTTACGTTTTCTAACAAAAATTAATTACTTTTTTCGAATTTTGTGTTGGTTTCTATACAAAGTTTAGTCAAAGTTATATTAATGATACGTTTTAAATTTAAGTCAAAGTTGAGATTAATTTTTCTTGCTCAAAAATTTTTATTAGCAAATATGGAAGATTCATTTACGGTTAAAATAAAAGTAAAAGCTTGGATGATTTTTATATCTTTTTCAATAGAACTAAACTGGAGAAAATATAATGGCAATCACAAAAACCTTCGTGGCCCTTTTTTTGCTAGTGACATTAGCAATTTCGTTGTCCAACTACAACGTTTTGGCCGTATCAAGTATGAGGGTTTGAATATATTTTTCCAATTGATTATTATTGAAAATAATAAGAGCAACAGTTGAATTTTTTTATTTTTTAATATAGAAGTGGTAATCGCCATGTGTAACAGCATGTATACGTGTTTGTAAGAACTTCAATTTAGATATATGTATATATATTTTATTACTGATAATACTAACAATGGATTTTGTACATGCAGTGATCAAGGCAGCAAACTCTGGTCCTTGCATTGCTACATGTGTGCCAGGAAAGTATGAAGGTTATGAATGCAATCATGACTGTTTCAACAATGGGTATGATGATGGAAAATGTGATCCAAAAACTAAAAAATGTTGTTGCATACAATAATAGAAATCGATCATTCTCCTATTTTCCAAAATATGACTTATTTACTGTTGGTCTTTAGTTGTATTAAATAAAAATTCAGCGAAATCAAACCTATTATACTATACTATCGCTTTTACAACTTAACTATATGACCCGCATTACAAATACAAATACAAAGCTTGAGTAGACTAGTGAATAAGAGAAGTAGACTGTAGACGTGACACAAACGCCATTAGGCCCGGTTCTGTAGCTTCTTCAACTCTTCTTGCTCAAAAGCTCTGTTTCTACTTGGCAACTAATTGATCGATGATTGCGCACACACACAAACAAGTTTGGTGCTTGTGGAGAGAAGGCGAAGAAGAAATCTCTCTCTCTCTCACATGATCACCCTATGAGTGAGGACTGATGCAATCTTATGAGGCATTTTGTTTTATGTTTTCTTCTTTTTTAAGTTTTTTTCTTTACAAATCAGATGGTTTGATTAGAATTCCTGTCTTCTTTGTACGGTGTACGGAACTTTTGTTAGTCAAAGACATGTGCTCAAAATGCTGTGGCGTATGAGAGAGGGAGAGAGAGACGTCATCGTAGTAAATCTATTTAATCGATGACGTACGCAGAAAAAGAGCATAACGACAGAAGAAAGAGTCCAAAACTAAGTTCAATATTAGTGGCTAACTTACTTAAAGGCATTAAACACAGTACTGACTACTACTGAACAAGGACGAAAAAAAGAAAGGTACAAAACTGAATAATTAACTCAATATTAGTTTTATCAGATCATCTCCATTAATGTAATTCATGTTAGATCTCTTAAGAATTATTTAATAATTTTTTTTTAAGAGTTAGAGATAATTAAGAGACTCTTGGGTTTTCTCCTCCATTAGTGAGAAACGAAGAAGCAGTAACAAAGCTTCGAAATCGATCCTCAAAATCGATTTTTCAACTTGCTCGCAATTCACACTATAGCGAATGCATGAAGAATCAGGCCTCGGGCATCGGAAACACCACCTACGACAGTTGCGGCGAGTTCGTTAGCGCCCTACGAGAGAAGATTTTATGAATTGCTTTGCATGCGCTTCATCAGGTGGCAACGATTTGGTGGAGAAAAAGGAAAGAAGAGGTTGAAGACGAAATTCATGGCGGAGCAGAGAAGTGAGAGAGAGAAGGGTTGAAGACAAAGCCACGAAGAAGATGAATTTAAAAAAAATGAAATAAAATAATTCAATAAAACTAAAAAAATAAATAAACAGCCAATAATATATTACCACGTATTTTATAAGACCGTCTTTTGTGCTTCTTATATAAGGAGCGCTCTTTACCAAAATTAATCTAAAACTAATTTTTTAATATTTTTACCTATAAAACCGAGCCACCAAATGGGTTTAAAAACCTTGATGGAGATACTCTAAAGTCCATACAAACCACTTAGCTTTTTCCTTGCATAGTTGCATTATCTGTCAAATGTTGCGTCGTTTTTGTCGTATTGTGTTTTGTGATTCTCAATTTCTCAGTCATTATAAAACTGTTGAAATTAGATTCTTGGACACTTTCCCATCACGTGGCCAGTTAAAAGCTACATAAGAAATTCCATAAACTCTGCATACCTATCAAATACATTAAGAGCAGAATTTATGAAACCAATGCGCCTTTAGTTCAAAAATCATACAATGTTTTGCAAAGTTTAAGAGAATAGAGAGGGAACTTGACATACATTCTAAGACCGTATGAGATAGGGAAAAGCCAACAATATGGGGTTGTTTGCAAGCTAAAAATGCTATGCATACCCAGCGTGGTTTTTCCGTTCTAGGTTTTTACGTTTTCTAAAAAATTTATTACTTTTTTGAAATTTTGTGTTGGTTTCTATACAAATTTTAGTCAAAGATATATTAAGGATACGTTTTAAAATTAAGTCAAAGTTGATATTATATTTTCTTGCTTAAAAATTATTATTAGCAATTAAGGAAGATTCATTTACATATATATATATATATATATATATGAATGTATTGTGAAGAACTAAAACATTTAAAGTATAATATTTTGTCTTTTCAATAGAACTAAACTAGAGAAAATATAACGGAAATCACAAAAACCTTCGTGGCCCTTCTTTTGCTAGTGACATTAGCAATTTCGTTCTCCACCTACAACGTTTTGGCCGTATCAAGTATGAGGTTTTTGAATATATATTTTTTCCAATTGATTATTATTAATCATAGTAAAAGCAACAATTGAAATCTCATCTTTTCATATAGAAGTGGTAATAGCCATGTGTATCAGCATGTATACGTGTTTGTAATAACTTCAAATTGTTATTACTGATGATGCTAACAATGGGTTTTGTCTATGCAGTAATCAAGGCAGCAAAGTCCGATCCTTGCATTGTCATTGCTACATGTGTGCCAGGAAAGTATGAAGGTTTTCAATGCAATCATGATTATGCAACGAATGGGTATGATGATGGAGACTGTGATCCCAAAACTAACAAATGTTGTTGCATACAATGATAGCAATCGATCATTCTCCTATTTTCCAAAATATGATTTTTTTTTACTGTCGGTTTTTAGTTGTATTGAGTAAAGAATTCAGCAAAATAAAACTTATTTTGATATACTATCGTTTTTACCAATAAAACCTATTTCGTTCAAAAAACTAAATGAAGAACCCCGTACACAATCTATTTTCTGTGCAAATTTTTTCTTCATTATTATTTAGATTTTTTGTTGTAATATATTTGATTAATATTACGTACCACTAAAGAAATTTTAAAAATAGGATTAAATCATTTAACCAGAGAAAGAAAATCAAATTGGGTTCAAACCAGACTAATAAATTCTCTAAAATCTGATTAAACGTTATTCGAAACACACCTGAACCAGATAGAAGAAGATTTAAGCCCATTAGACCCACTATGGAAGATGAATCTGATTAGTCATGACTCAAAATGTTTGAACCAAGTCATCAGAAGCGGTAATGCGGTGTGTTGCGATGTGACGATCTAATGGAGGAGGCACAATTTCTCATTCGATGAAATTGCCTCTTTCGATCTCTACGATAGATCTTGTTCACACTACTTCACTTGGATTGTGAGCTTTAACCCTCCAAAGCACTCTGCCTTGAAAAGCCAAGAATGTCACTTTGATGTTAGACATGTCCAAGATGGCAGGATCTCTAACCGCATCGTTGAATTTCACCAAACATCCCTAAAACAACCAATGCTAGTAGAAAATGTATCAAATCAGTTCAATTTCTAACAAAAAAAAGAGAGAATAATTCATTCTAGTAGCAACGATGCTCTAATCTAATGGTTATTATAGTTGACGTTTTATTCCCTAAACTTGAAAATTTTGAAACTTAGTTATAAATTTTCTATGTGAATGGTTTATTTCAAGTTAGTCTAATTTACTACATTTTTTTTTGAAATTTTGTGTTAATTGTTATACATTTTCTATGTGAATGGTTCATTACAAGTTAGTCTAGTTTATTACATTATTTGAAAGTTTGTTTTGTTTTCTATACAAAAAGATTATTTTACCATGCGTTTTGGTCTAAAACAAAATTCATAAAACACACATTTTAGACAATCTCATATTTGTGATTTACATGTGTGAAGTGTGATACAGTCTAAACTAAACAAAATGAATAATTTTATCTTTGTTACCGTCATATACGATTCCTGTATCTATATATAACATGTTTTTTAGCCCATTCTGTTACTAATATTATAGATCAAGTTACAGTAATAAAATCATCCAAAAACTAAAAGATATATATATATATATATATATATAACTGTTATCACAATGTTTTATTATTATTTTCTCTTATTATAGTATTAGCGTTTTTGATGTCCAACTACAACGTTTTGACTGCCTTATATATGACAGTTCTTACAATTATCTTCTTCTTTTTTTGCTACAAATTTTCTTATTTTTACTTATGTTTTGCTTATTTTTTGTTTAGATTTTGCTTATATTTTGCTTAATTTCTATTTATTACAATATTTCCTTATTTTATTTATAGTTTTTGTTATGTAAACATAATTTAATTATAAGTGTATTTTTTTGTTTAAAATTTATAGTGTTATATTAATCAATTCCTCATTTGCATTTATATTTTCTTATAATTATAATTAACTATGTAAAATCGGTTTACTTCATGACCAAGAGTGTAGTCAGTGTTAAGTGTGTGTCATCCGATGTACCATAGTGACTTGGTCTTGTCGTATCCGTACGGTTCTTTCAGGGCAGTCTGCAGTGCTTACATGCGCTTGTCGAGTTTGCCATTTACTTTTTGTTCTTATTACAGGTTTAGAAATTTCTGATGGAATAATTTTCCAGAAATTTATATTATTATTGACTTAACCAATATGAATGCAGACAAAACATAAAAAGATAAATAAAATGTTTAAACTCACAATTCAAAACTACCTAAATTTGGTGATCTTTTAAAAAAGATGGCCAAATGCTGGCTGCTTCCTATTACCACGATATATATTTTTTAGAATTAAAATACCAAATTACTCAATGATTTTCGGATCATGGACTATCATTTTACAACTACTAGCCGTGTCTTTTATGTTTCGAGGAACTTTTTTTTGCAGACCTGAGCGTGAGACTTGGCTTCTCGCTGAAACTTCTTCACCATTTTTTATCATTCGGTTACTAAACCTAGTTCTTATCTTATAGATCAAGTTACAGTAGTAAAAACATCCAACAGCTTCATTAGAAGGCTCAAATCGCCCCAACAGAATACTTAACCAGCACATATTTGGCACATATTAATTATGCTTTGACAACAAAAACAAAAAATTATCATTAATTTTAAAATTTAATATATATAATTAATTTTTTAAAATTTCAGATCTCAAGTACAATATATAAATTTAATTGGGATGTTCAGATTTGTTGTCTATTATTAGTCAGAGTTACATAATTTTTCTTGCTTAAAAGATATATTAGCAAATTTTCATTATGTTCAAATAAAAGTAACAGATTGCACGAGATTTTTTTTTAAGATTGCACGAGATTTTTTATTAACAAAGTCATATACAGTATATATATATTTATATACATATTGTGAAGAACTAAAACATTATAGAATATATTGTCTTCTCAATAGAGCTAAATTAGAGAAAATATAATGGAAATCACAAAAACCTTCGTAACCTTTTTTTTTGTAGTGACATTAGCAATTTCGTTGTCCAATCAAAATGTTTGGGCCGTATCAAGTATGATTTTTTTTTTTTTTCAACTGATTACTATTAAAATATGATTGAACTTTAACAAGGGGTTGTACATTTGCAGTGATCAAGCCAGCAAACTCTGGTCCTTGCATTGCTACATGTGTGCCAGGAAAGTATGAAGTTTCTCAATGCAGTCATGACTGTTTGACGAGTGGGTACAAAAGTGGACACTGTCACATATATGCTAGATGTTGTTGCACACATTGATAGAAATCGACCATTCTTCTATTTTCCAAAAATATGAATTCAGCGAAATAAAACCTACACTATTTTACTACAATATCGCTTTTACATCTTAACTTAACTATACAAATAACTCCGCGCACAATTTTTTTTTTGGGTGCAAATTGTTCTTCCTAATTGTTTAGTTTTTGTTTGTACTCATATTTGATTGATGTTTAAATCGTCATCAGAGGCGGTGTGTTGCAACGTGACGATCTGATGGAGGAGGCACAATTTCTCACTCGATGAAATCGCGTCTTTCGATCTCTACAATAGTTTCTGTTCACTCTACTTCACTTGGATTGTGAGTTTAAACCCTCCAAAGAACTCTGCATTGTAACAAGCCAAGAACGTCACTTTGATGTTAATTGTTAAACATGTCGAATAACTCTAACGGTATCGTTGAAATTCACCTTAACATCCCTAAACCATCCAATGCGAGCAGAAATTATATCAAAATCAGTTCAATTCCTAACAAAAACGAATAATTCGTTCTAGTAGCAACGAAATTATAGTTGGAAGTTTTTCCTTCAACTTGGAAAATTTGAATCTAAGTTAGTAGAAACTCTCTCATGCATGTGTGCAACACAAGACAAGCCAAGTTATAAAATGTTAATATGTGGATGGTTCATTACAAGATATAAGATTAGTTCGCTAAGTGTTGCATAGCTGTGCAATTGAATGAAGCAAGACATACATATTAATCAATCAAAGACACGAAGCAAAATGCATTGATAATGATGATAAGTCCAATAAAGCTAAACTAGAGATATACACATTAATGCAACAATTTTACAAAAACAAACCCGGTTGATTTGGGCATGACTATTTCAACATAAAAACTCAAAATCTTTTTCTTGCTGCTTTGATTTCATTCGATGAGGACGTAACCATTCGGATCATGGACTACCATTCTACTACTAGTAGCCGTGCCTTCTATGTTATGAGGAGCTTTTTTGCAGACCTGAGCGTGAGACTCGGCTTCTCGCTGAAACTTCTTCACCATTTCGTCAAGTTCCAGTTTTCTAATCTCAACATTCTCTTCTGCCTCTGGCTCCTTGAGTCCAAGGTAGAGCAAAGCCGCGCCCACTAGTAACAAACCTGACAAGAAAAGAATGGCTGAGAAAAGTGCAAAGGCTTGTGGGGAATCTTGAGCTCCTGGTATGCCATCTACGTTGATTCCAAATAGACCAGTCACTATTGAGAGCAAAAGACCAACTCCTCCAAAAATTCCGAGGTTGTGTGTAACCGTGAGGCTTCTGTCCTAATCAAAGTCAATAAATGTTCAAATCAAAAATTAAGAAAGCTTATGTACTTATGTCATCATCTGAAATGTGAATTACTCTACCTGTAACCATGCTCGAACCGTGCTCTGCATGACGTCTTGGATAGTGAACAAGCGACCACGGACGGCGTCTTGTTCATTGATCATATCTCGGGTGCTCTTTCTTATTCCTTCTAGCAAGTCTTTTGTTGTATTGCCTTTTAATTGCTGAAGAAGCTCGAACACGATCTCTTCTCTAGCATGAAGCGACCATTTCACCCGTATAACCTGATTCAAAGATATCAAAGACAAATGATGAACATAGCGAGTCGAGAAACAAGTTCTTTCGAAAAGATGGTAGTGGTTCTAAGAGTATTATCGACACTTATATGAAGAAATTAAAAGGGTTAAGTAAACATAGACCAGATAATCTGATCTCCTCCATGGAAATCTAACAAGAAGGGAAGCTTTACCTGAGTAGAAAGCCTTCTGATTTCTTGATTCAAGATTATAGTAAATAGATTTAGATCCTCGTACATTCTCCTGAATTCAAGAAAAACAAAAAACTTTCATGCTCAGTCAGGCTTAAGGAGGAATGGCTACGCAAGAGAAGACTTTAAGATCAGAATAGGTTCAGTTGAAATACTTGTTCATAAACATCAACTCAACTTCATCGGCTGCACCAAATATATACTTCCGGAATAGCCTACATTACAGATATGGATATTATTAACCATCATTGGGTTAAATTCCAGTGTGAAGAATAATCAAAAGGTTCAAGTATCTTGATAGGTAAAAAGATAATACATATTGGTTTATCCTTTACTAAACCAAGGGACGACAAATACCTATCATCCCAGCGTGCAAGGCGACATGCAAGATGTGCTATTAGTTCATGAACGGTTCTTGGAATACAGGCTCCACCAGCAATAAGCATTTCCTAGTAATACACAGAGCATCAGCTTAGACAAAAAAAAAGCCACAGAAGACTGAAAAAACCTGTTTTGATTAATTAATCAAGGAATGAAGGAAACCAATGATTCAGGTGAGAAGAACAAACCTGAACTTCTGTGATACCTAACACACTAATGTTAGAGGCAAAGCCTTTAACGTGCAATGCAGTCACCATAAAGTTCTGAGCTTGCCATGACCTTAAGACAATGGGTATGTCATCTTCTTCGATAAAAGGATCACCAGCTGATTGTCCCAACAGCTCAAACAGCAGTCCACCACCAACTCTAACAGGAACCTATCATCATCCAACAGTTTAACAAGCTTGATCTATTATCACCTGTAGAGTCCATATCACAAAGCAACATTATTCAGATACTATATACCTCATAGAAAATATGTTTCATACGTTCACTTATCAGCTTGGTTTCGTCCCGGAGAGCAACGCTAACAGCCGGATGTAACCAGTGCGCATTATGCAACCACGAGGTGATACCTTGATGGCTTGCATCTACATGGCACCACCATGTTGGACCCGCAAGTGGTCTTTCCCAGTAAGGAGCTGCAAGCTCAGCAACTGTGGCTTCATCTTCATCATCTATGGCAATGTTTTGCAGATCCCAGTCATCATCAACCTTCACAGTATTAACAAGCTCAGAGAGCCTATCCCAACCAATTGGTCGCCAATAACTCCTCGAGTGCTCTTCTTCCCCGGCAACGAATTGGCCTGGTTTACACTCCTTTTTCTTGCTATCACAACAACACTGTTCACAGTTGGTTAAGAGAATCAACAAGAAAAAGGTCATTAAGCGAAATTAGTATGTTAGCAATTATCATACATTTGGAGCAACGTTTCTGGCGAATCTCCTCGCTGTGTAGACTGAAGAACATTTGTGTTGTGATTGGTTATCTTACGATGACCTCGACAAAACTCGAAAGCACAAATAAGCCCATCCGTCCAGAGATTATGATTCTCGCTGTGATTCGCATTCATACTTCAACCAATTTCACTTGATTTCACAGCTTTCGATTCATATCAAATCATCTCGCTTCTGATTCGAAAACAGCAAAAATCACAGAGTCCAAAACAACAGAGAGAGGGAAGCGAACTTAACAAGCACACTCGAATCAAAAACAGAACCACATTTCTCCAACAATTTCCCTAATTTCTGCACCGATTCGAATCAAAAAAGGAGATATTGACCTCCTTGAGAGAAACAGAGAGAGCAATGTGGCACTCGTCTCGAGGAGAGCAGGCGAGAACAAACAAACACGTGTATACCATCAACACACGTGTGATACGGAATTTGGGCCTTATTGGACCCACTCTCTATTACGGGCCCAAATTAGATTCGCATCTTTCTCCCGACTTTTTGATTTGACTGACACAGTCAATTTTTTCATTTGTTTCTCAAATCAGTATTTAATTTAGATTTGGTCCCAGAAGGATATAATTTGGTTGTAAATAGCTACAAGATGTTTAAAAACATTATTATGAATCTCTCTGTTAAAGAAGACAATTGTCATGAATCATCTGTTGAAAAGTAGGCGGCCAGAAACCTTTTTTTTGCAGAATAATTTGTTAATTATTATTAATCACAATTTTGATGACAACTTAACCATCTCCTACTCTTCACAATCATTCTTTTGGTGTCTCTACCATATAATAATTCACCATAATCTCCTTACTTAAACTCACAAACTCCTCTGAAAATTTCTGAATCTTTCAGCTGAAATATATTACTCATAACAATGGCCGGAGGAACAGCTCTAACTCCAACCTCTGTAGGATCTAAGCCAGTTCCAATGAGGAACCATGAAGCAACAGAAAGAGGTAATAACAACAGCAACAACAACAACAACCACCTGAAAGCATTACCCAAAGCGGTCCAACCGGTTTCATCGATCGAAGGAGAGATGGCTAAGAGGCCACGAGGTAGACCTGCTGGCTCCAAGAACAAACCCAAACCACCAATCATTGTGACTCACGACAGTCCAAATTCCCTCAGAGCTCATGCCGTTGAGATCAGCTCAGGCAATGACATCTGTGAGACTTTATCAGATTTCGCAAGAAGGAAACAGAGAGGTCTCTGCATACTAAGTGCCAATGGATGTGTCACCAATGTGACATTAAGGCAGCCAGCTTCATCAGGAGCTATTGTGACATTACACGGACGTTTCGAGATCCTCTCATTGCTCGGATCAATCTTGCCTCCACCAGCACCGCTTGGGATCACTGGTTTGACCATTTACTTAGCCGGGCCTCAAGGACAGGTTGTTGGTGGAGGAGTGGTTGGTGGGCTAATCGCGTCTGGTCCTGTTGTTCTCATGGCTGCATCTTTCATGAATGCTGTTTTTGATCGTCTTCCTATGGACGACGATGAAGCTGCTTCAATGCAGAACCAGCAGTACTACCAGAATGGAAGATCCCGTCCTATAGATGAGATCCATGGACTGCCTCAAAACCTGCTGACTAATGGAAACTCGGGTTCTGATATTTACTCTTGGGGGGCTGCGCAACGTGCCATGTCCAAACCTTGATATTACTCTCTAATCTCCTTGTTTCATCATATCAAAGTACCTTAGCTTTATCATCTAATTTACCTTGGAATCAAAGATCAATGTTTCTGTAGGTAGAGAGAGAACCTTAAGTTTGGTAAAAGAACTGGAACTAATCTTCCTCTGTAGTTTGTACCTGCAACAGTAAGAAGAAGAAACTTATAAAAACATAAGTAATTGTTAATGAAACAAACAGTAAAAATTAGTATATATGTACTATGACTGATTGGCATTATGATAAATCAGTATATATTACCTAATTGATAATCTTCGGCTACATCCTCCGAACTATAAAACTGTTTATTTCTCTGCTAAATAGTGAAACCCATTCTAGTTGTAGCGTCAAACAGTTTCGTTTAGTGTCTTTAAATGACAAAGTTGTTCAGCAAACTGAGGAGTAGCCAGCTTCTGGTTTCAGTGCAGAGACATCCCAATTCAAAACACCTAGTAAACTGTAAATCTCTGAGGATTTAGGATGTCTTTTCCCGCAAGATACAAACTCATGAACTTCAAAATCCACTTCAATCGAACTGCACCCTATTTCTTTCTCCATTTGTCTTTCCTTCATCAAAACCCTCTGCTCAACTGCCTCTTCGAACAAACCATAAGAAGCATAAGCATTAGACATGAGCACATAACCACAAGTGTCATCTGGATCCAGCTTCTTCAAACATTTTGCTGCGCGTTCAGCCATCTCAACATTACCGTTTTTCCTGCAAGCAGAAAGCAAAGAACTCCATATAATAGCGTCTTGTTCCATCGGCATGTTCTTTATCATTGCTTCTGCTTCTTCGAGTAGCCCCGCTCCACCCAGCACATTAACCATGCAAGTGTAGTGTTTTATTGATGGCTCAATCAAATATTTTTCTCTCATCAATCTGAAAAATTCGCCAGCTTCATCTACTTTCCCGGAGTAAGCACAAGCTGTTAAAACACCGATGAAGCTGACAGAATCTGGCTCTAAATCGGAGCTCTCCAATTCCGAGAACAAATCCATGGCTCTTTCCTCGTATCCATTATTAGCTAGACCAAGAACCATCGAGTTCCAACATGATAATTGCTTATTAGGAGCACTCTCAAACACCCTTAAGCCTTCCTCAATGCACCCGCACTTGCAGTACATATCTATGAGTGCTGTAATAACTATACTATTCAACTCAAATCTATTCTTTACTATATATTCATGTATCCATCTCCCTTGCTCGCTTGCTCCGAGGTAAGCACAAGCATTCAACAGACTCACCATTGTAAATCCATCAGGTTTCACATTTCTCTCCTGCATCTTTCGAAACATCTCTAAAGCATCCTTAAATCTACCATTCTTCACAAACCCACTGATCATCGAATTCCAAGAAATTTCATTCCTCTGCGGCATTTCATCAAACAGTTTCTGGGCCTGTTCGATCAACCCGTATCTAGCAAGACCCATCATCATCGAATTCCAAGCAACAACATCGAAATGCTTCATCGCCATGAAAATTCTCCAGGCTTCAACAAAACACCCACAAGTCGCGTACATATGCAGCATCGTATTCCGTATAAACGAGTCGTCTTCAAGTCCTTCTTTGATAACCATCCCGTGCAATTGCATCCCATCCCGAGCTTTCCCAAGACTAGCATAAGCCTTGAACACCGAAGGGTAAGTCAATCTCTGCGGCTTCGCAGACGCAGAGCTAAACATATCGATAAAAATCGTAATCGACATTTCCGGAAACGAGCTCCGAGAGAAACCACGGATTATGGTGTTCCACACAAATGGGTTTTTGTGATTGATCCTTGTGAAGAGCAAATAAGCGTAACTCATGTCAGACGGAGACGTGCAGCAGAAGGCGAGGACGCGGCTCGCGGCGATAGTATCGGAAATTAAACCGGTTTTAATGAGATTGGCGTGGATTTGCTTGAGCTCTCTCATCGTGCTACATTGTGTGTCTATCAATCGGATATGCGAGTTTCCGGAGACGGAAATCGTCGACGAAAACGTCGGCATTGTCATGCCGGAGTAGCAAAAGATCGTCGAAAACATCATTTTTACCCGCCGAATCAAATTTTAAAGGTCGGGGATTATGGAAAAAGGTTATCCTTTTAAAAGAGATTACACACGTGTGCAAAGTGATCGCCATTGACATCGAGATTCAACAACAAGACACACACGTGTGCTCGTCTTCTCTAAATCTTGTCATCATTTCTCTCCCATTCTCTCTGTAAAGTGGATAGTGTTTTAAAGGTTTTTTTTCTCTGTTTCTAAACTTAACGATTCATTTCGTTGCATAACAAGATCAATCAACAAGAAGTGAAGAACAGAAAAGAGGTTTAACAATCTGTCTCAGCAAAAGTGACATGATTATTTCATAAACTATCTCCTACGAGTACAACACCAAGGCAAAAACCACCAAGACGAGCAAAGACCAAGGCTTTATCATCTCTATTGTTTCAAATCTGCAGTGCATCAGCAATGGATCCCGCGAGGCTCAAGACTTCGAAAGGAGCCTTGTTTCCTATGGCCTTAACCGTCTGTGGACAAGAATCCGTAATCCAGAAATAAGCAAACGCCTCTTCTAGTCCTAATTTGAAGACAAAACAAAAACAATATAGATTTCAGTTAAAGCTTACAAGAAGATATAGGAACAAATGATAAATTCCGTTACTTTTTTCTCCTATTGTTTATAAGGTAATTACCGTTGCTCTTGTGAGTGAAACGCTCCCATGAGCTCTTTGGGAAGACACCATGAGTTACATAAGCACTCACCTTCGCGGCTCCATGAGCTGCCAATACTTTCTGCGTGAAACAAATGAACAGTTAAGACGAGTTAAACCACCATATTCTGGACAATCTCAGACTAGGATACTCAGCATTCAACAAGTACATAAAACATCAACTGCAGATTAAAGAATTAACAAAGATTTTTCGATCAAAACTGGTTTGAACTTGGAATACTAACACAATTCAGCCTGAAAGCCTTATAAGAGAAAACCATCTCACAACTATTAACTCATAATTCATGGAATACTGCTCAAGGTGAAAGCAAAAATGCAGGGATCTCAATACCTGGCACTCAATGAGTGTACCCCCAGACTGCACAAGATCATCAACAATAACAACGTGACAACCAGCGGGGTTTCCTTCCTTAAGCCTGACAATTCTCTTATCGCCTTCACGAACCTTTGTGCACACCACCTATTAAGATTTAACATTGGATTTCGTAAGGTATTGTGATGCTCATAGCTTGATAAAACATTAATTTAGATCGCTACAAACCGTGGGATACTGATCCAACAGCTTGTGGAAACGCTTCCAGGCTCCATCATCTGGAAATGCAACTATGATCTGCAAACAAAAAGGAATCAAATTTAGCCAAAAGGAAAAAACGCAAAGAAGTAACTTTCTGATTTGCATGCATCCTTTATCATCTCAGCTATAAACTAACCTTCTCGTTTTGAGGAAGCTGTTGAAGACGTTTCGTCAACAACGGGATTCCAGTCTCAAACAAAGGAAGAACCTGATCAGCAAAGTAAAACCTTTCCTGCAAACACGAGAAAAGATCGAGACAGCGATAGTCAATACTTACAGATCATAGGGAACTAGTCTCATGAATATTGGAAACAGAAAACAAACAAACCTGCAGAGCGTGAATGTCATAGATGACTACACTGGTCGGACCTCCACGCGAAATGGGGATATTGGACACAATCCTTGCCATGGTAAAAGCAGTTGCTACATCTCCTTCCTCTTCCATTCTCTCAAAGGAACCAGTGGGGAAGAAAGGTAACACCAAGGTGAAGGACGCGACAAACAAGCGAGGGAGCAAGTAAATGACAGAGATCTGCTCAAAGATGACCGCTGGAGAACTGAATGAAGCAAGGAAAGCAACGTGCTGGCCTCGGATTTCATGTGCGTTGTTAATAAACAGATTCGGAAATCCATCAGCAAAGCTCCTGAAAGCATATATAAACCAATGAACAAAATATCCTCAATCCCATCTATGAATCACCAAATACTACTATTCACACTAAGAAAGAAAGTGAATTTAAAACACTTATACATTGCAATACTCTTGACATAGGAAACTGAAATTTGCCGGAAAATGAGGGTTTTGAATGCATAAGCCTTAGATCAAACAGCCACACAACCAAAACGCAGATTATGGTGCAGAACAACAAAAGGAAGCTTATTGGCAGAGTGAATCCAAATTTCACAATAAAGACATGATTTTTACTTATCCTAAGCTCACAGAAACCCATGAAGTTTTGAGCATCACCCAGAAATTCAAACAATAGATTCCAGAAATTGGGGAAAGATGAAAAAATTACCTCCAGTTGATGGATTGAAGGGTGATATGATCAGAAGCGGCGGCGATATTGTGAGCAAGCTCTTCGCACTCTAAGCAGTAAAAGAGATGAACTTTCTTCTTCTGTAACTCAGACACGATGGCGTCTTTACAAATCTTGTTCTCCATGATGTTTTTGGCTGCGTTCTCAGACATTGACGCCGTGTGAAGAGCCTGAATGTCTTTTGCTTCGGAATCGGATACACAAAAAGGGTTTAAAGGTTTTTCCCAAAAGGCCTTCTTTTGTTCGGCTGACAATTTTGATTCCTTTACACTTTTTTTGGCTTTTTGTTTTTACCCCAAATCTTATTATATTCCAATCAAATCCAGGTAATGCGTATATTTTTCATTTTTCAAAAAAAAACTAAAAACAACTACTTTACGTTATTGGCTACTGAGTTTTAAAAATGGTTTATAGCGCCCTTCACAATGTTAAAAACTTAGAATTATACTACTGTCTAAACTAGTAAACTGAAGTAGAAAGATAAAATTGAAAGTTTCTGTTTCTCCCTGAAATTTTTCATTTGTGTCATCATTGATTATTTCCAAAACTGAATATTTTGAAATATACACAAGTATCATATTAAAACTCAAACAAGTACCTGGAACTTGCGAGACCTGGGTTTTCATGCAACAATCTATGTCTTTAATATCTTTGGACAATAACAGGTTAATTAGTTTTCACTTTGTTCAAACTCGGGATTTTCAAAAATATCTCTCTTTTTAAAAAAAAAAAATGGTTACATAATAGTATAATACACTAATGGTGATAAGAAAACATATACTACTATACTTTTGAAAAGGGTATTTCGCATCCGATTTTTTTTTTCCAAAATTTCATTCTTTTTGTTGCTTCATTTTCATAACTTTATCCATAAGTCAAACTTTTATTATTCTTTCAATGAGATACCGTAGAACTTGTTAAACGGCATGAACCAACGCAATTAGCCGAAAATGTATATTATTTTACATAGGAAAAAGAAATCTGACTAGATAGTAGATTCTGCCATATTTTTCTATAAATTTATAATTTTTTTATGTTACGAACAGTTTATTCTGAATTCATGAAATTTTAAATTAGAACCTGACTAGTGTGAGTGTGACAGTAATTTATACTGCAATTTAAAAAAAATTAAAACCTGACTAGTGTGATTGTGACAGTAAATTTTTTCTTAAAAAAAAAAAAGAGATGCTCAACTAAAGTTGGAAAGTATTGTTGTGTTGATCAGGCCTTGGCGCATTTTCGAATATTGTAAAATCAAAGTATCCCAGCCACCGAAATTGGGCTCCAGTAATTAAAGAAAAAACATTCCCTATAGAAAGAAAATCCATGAATTTTCCGAGAAAACAAAAATCACTTCCACAAAAAAATTGGGTGAATTATATAATACATTGAATAAGTACGTGGAGCCATGTGTGCTACAATACGACAGCACGAGAACCAATCATGTTCGTCTCTCAATGATCAAATCCAATATAGTCGTGAATCATTCGCTTACGCAACACAATATTGCGTGAATCACACGCACCATTCGAAGCTAGATCTACCGTCCGATCATCCCACCTAAGTCTCATCCCATGGTTCAACCGTCTGATGAAACCCTCGCTACGTCTTTCACAGTAACCCAACCACCTAGCCACAGACACAGACTCCTTATCCTTCCAATGTCCACCTAACTCATCAAAACGACATCGTTGTACACCTTCCAAGGCCAAATACTCCACCATGCCGGCGACAAGCTCCGGCGAAGCACGTGGCTCGTCTCCCCATAGCCAAATCCTAACCATAGAACGTCGCAATGCTGACTTCACGGCGTTAACAAAGTCACCTCTTTCCATTAGAGATGAGCTTAACCTGATCACATACTCTCCATGACTTGCACCGGAAGTTACCGAGACCCTCTCGACTCCATCGCTTCTGTCTCCATAGAATCGGACGGTCACGTGGTGTACACGCTTTCGGAGACGATGTGGAACACCTTCGTAGAGCAATCTCTCCACAAAGAAGCTTGTATCGAGCAAGACCCGCACCGCAGTATCATCCGACTCGAAGAAAAGAGAAAATCTTTTCCCGGAAGGAGAACCTTTAGCTTCGTTGATAATAGTTATGGAGAAACCTTTCGATGCCTCGTTGTTTGCCCACAAGGAGATTGCTCCGACGAGAATTACAGAGAAAATCCGTAAGAGAATACCTGAATCTGATTCCGATGGTGAGCCTTTGGCGGCAGGTTTGGCTTGGAAAGGTTGAAGAAGAGTCTGATCCGCCATTGTAGCCATAGAGAGAGAGACGTGTAACGGTTTTGTAATGGTAATGGACCTAATGGTAACTACTTGAGACAGAGACTTGAACCGAGTCTGTTGTAATGCAACAACTAATTAAACACTGATCATGTCTTTCACATGGACAGGAGTGTTATGTATATACAAGAGGATGATATATTGATATATACACATTACAGACAAGGAGAAGTTTTAAATAAAGTATCTAACGTAATGTACGAAAAGGAAAATTTTTAGATCGGATTTATTTTTCACGTGAAGTAATCCAAAAAAACCGGTTACTCTGTTCCCAAGGAAAAACAAGCCGTGATACTGTACATCTGCTTCTTCCATATCAGCGCTTGATCTGTACATTTACCTTTGATGGTGGGTTACAGTTCTCATCTACTGGTTTTAGTCGGGGTTTGAGAGGACTCTTCTGAAATGTTCTTGGAGTTAACGTTCCCCCTTGGATTCTCGATAAGATCCATTGTGTAAGACCAATCTGAATCAGGGGCGGTTATGTTCCAAATGCTTGAAAACATTTGCTCCTGTATGATCCATGAAATGAAAGGTGAAATCGGTGGACACAATATCTGAAGAGACTGCATATGCATTTGGAAGGCAACCAAGATTTTGGAATTAATAGACTACCTGATCATTGGAGTCTTGACCATCATCATGGTGGTGGGTGACTTCTGAAAACAATTGCTTTTCGTCCTTCATAGGACTCGGATTCTGCATGTATGAAGCAAGAGCAGACTTTCCTTGGATCTCCGCATATGCCAATGAAGCAACTTTCCCACTGTTGAATTTCTCCCATATTTTACCATTGAAGGTCTGCAAAAACAGGCAGATCAAAACTTACTAGTCTAGACTTGACGTATCACGGTATCAGGCAAATTCAGTTTCCTAAAACAATGGTGAAGAGAAAAGGTAAAAACCTGTTGGAAGGGAACAATGTGCAATGGAGAGACCATGTTGACAAAAGCGTGACCCATGTTGCACTTATTCTGTATCCAGAAGAAAGCTAGAACGTCAGTAAGTTCTCAGGTCAGACAAGAGCATCATGAGTTCACTCTCTTATAGTATAGTACCTTAAAGTCTACGGGTAAGCACAGAAAGTCATAGTCTCCCTTGTGCTTTTCGTCAATTTCAGCCACCAGCATCTTGTAAGTATACCTTACAAAACAAAGCATTTAAGAGAGTTACACACTGCCCACAGATCTAAAATTGAGAGCAATGAAACGCTTACTTGTTTGGGATGTTTTTAATGATTAATGTAGTCCGGATATCATCTCCAGTAGCAATTCTATCCAAGTCAATATGATACCTCCCACCATCTATGAGTTGATTTCGATTGTAGGTTTCGAGGTGTGGGATCCTACCCTGCTCAGTAAAAGGTTCATGTCTTACTGATTGTAATCCTCTAATCCCACCAAAAGGAACTGTAGGCATTGAGGACATGCCAAAGCCAGTGAAATCCCTTTCATTATGGTTTCCCGGTAGACTCACACCAAGGTTCGCATGAGCATAGCTTTTGTTGGTTCCCATATCGCCAAATCTAAGGGGTATCAGAGAAGATGTGTCTGGTGATCCCGGGTAGCAATTAATTTGGGTATTAAAATGAATGCTAGAGGGAGCAGAGCCCACATGATGCTGGTATTTTCCAAGCAATGAACCCTGCCTCTCAGCAAATGGAAAACCATGCCTGACAGAGAAAGGACGTTCAGTAGATGATGATGATGACGATGACGCTCCAGTGTAACCAGGATAATTCATATGCTGAGGAGGGCTTCCCCAGCGATAACGGTTATCAGATGAAGTCCCAAACCCTGAGGAATGTGGAGCTATAAAGCTCATGGAGTTGGAAATTCCCCCTCCTATATGCTCTGGCAACGAATGAGGTTGCCCATAGGGAATGTTGTGCATCAATCCCTTCTTCAGAATACTTTGGTTTGGATGATTCAATAGCCCTTGGTCATTACTGACTGGTGAAAATCCATGAAAGCTAGAGGGCTGACCAGGGAGAATTGAAGCCAATCCCGGCATATTATCTGGGTTAAATGGCCTCACGATTCCTAGACCATGTAGCCTCGGAAAGGCATGCGAAGGGGAGCCCTTCACGGGGCTGCCAATTGGCCAGTTACCTGTTAAGCAGATTGAATGAATTCTTGACTAACCAGTGGAGAAGAAAAAAGTGTATAGGAAATGATCAAATATGAGTTTACCTGGTGGGGAATTGGTAGCTTGTGAAGCTACTTGATTGTAGAAATTTGTAACTTCGTGTCTGTCCAAATCTTGACTTGCTGACGGGACCGAGCTGCATACAAATAATTCCAGTTCACTGTGTATACAAGATAACCCAATTCATTTTTGGATATATACAAAGTGCAGGCAACTCACACTCGACGGGCCCCTCCAGGACGGCTAAGTTCGAGCTTTATACATTTTCCACCTATCTCGCTTCTGTTCAGTGCTTTCAGGGCTGTCTCTGCATCTCTAACATCATAGTACTCAATGAACCTGTGGAATCGCCGGTTTGGGGTTTCTCTAATCTGCATTTAACAGGTCAATGATTAACAAGAGGAGGATTTGATACATCAAATACAAACAGAGAGAAGAATACCCTAGACATAAAGATAAACCATTGTATACAATATGCACATTTGAACGAGCAAGTTAACCAAACAAACATAAATTACCTCTCTTATTTCACCATAAGCACCGAACAGCTGAAGAAGCTCATCGTTCGATACTGTTGTGTCCACATTAAAAATCACAAGAGTTCCTTGATTCATATCCTTCTCTGACGGATTTTCCTATCATGTGGCAGTAAACTGATGATTAATAAAATGCTAAAGAAAAGCTGAAACATCAAATCAAGAATATCTCTCGTCGACCATACTTTAGGAATGGAAAAGTGAATGTCCAGTGTCCTTTTTCTTAAGAGCGTGTTCTGTAGTGCACGCATTGCGGCATGAGCAGCTCGGATATCATAGTAGGATATCATTACAAAACCCCTGCTTTTGCATGCAGTGTACAAACTTCTGATCTCCCCAAACGGCTGGTGACAAGTAGAAATCACGTCAGCAAGAGCAAGCAAGCCTCGATATTAAATGAGTTAAAGCTAATAATAAGCAAACAATTGTGCATCACCTCAAAAATGGCGCTTAACTCAGAATCCTCGACACTGCTGTTGATATTCCTCACAAACAACGTCCTTGAAGGATGTTCACCATTTGGATGTTCTACTGAAACTCTGCCAGACGTGCTGGGACGTTTACGAGGAACAAACGCATTTCCCACACCGAGGTCAGTTATCTGCATCCCTGATGCATCAACAGCATGATTATCTTGGGACTCAACATCCAATTCCATACCCCCTCCAGTGCAAAAGACATCACATTCTTCGAGATCTTCAAGTTCATCAGGCAGGCCGTTAAAATTAAGCTCATCAATGAGGCCAGGAAGGAGCTCATTTTCATCCTCAGGCAGCAGGATTTCTAAAGAATCGGGTTCAACATCTTCCAGAGAATCCTTCTCAGAGTTTCCTATGGCAAGTTTGTTCAGATTGGGTGAGCTATCATCTAGGGAGAGCCAGCTATCTGAATCAGTCATATTCACTGCAAGTTTGTCAAAACAAAAGAAGACAACAGAAAGCTGTTAGCACTGCCTACAAGTAAATTAAGCTGATCATTCAAGGATTCTAAAACATACGCTTTTCATGAAAAAGTGTGGGCAATGAGCTTGAGAACATGCTCAGATCACTTGTAGAACGATATCCACTGCCTCCATTAAAAGTGTCAGATGATCTACTGAGCAAGGATGGCATGTCTAGATTCGACATATCCCAAAAGATGAAATATCAAAAAATTGTAAAACAAAAAATGGTATTTTGCATCAAAACAAAAAAAAAAAAAGAGAGAAACAAGAAAGTATCTTTTCCTACCAGCAGACAATGATTCCTTTGGTTCTAGCTCCATCTTTTTGGCGTCTGCAACTGCAAACAAAACAAGAAATAACTGTCTTATTGACTTCTGATTTTGCATGATTTCATAAAGCAGAACAGCTACTTCCTAAGATCATTAGCCCTCAATCACACATGATATAAACAAAGCAAAACAGACAGACAGATCAAATATTCAAAACAGGAAGATAATCGAAGTAAACCATGAAACTCTCAGTTGGTCAACTCGATGAACTCTAAAAAAAGTTTTGCTTTTGCTGCATGTGACGACAAAACATCATCAGAGACAGAAATCATCTGCGCAATAAACTCTAATCCAAAGCTTAATTCGCAATAACCCAAAATCAATAGCATCTGAAACAATAGAAATAGCAACTGGTTTTCTCGCTAAAACCATCATCAGTTTTAGATACACAGGTGAGTAAGAAAAAAACCCAGAACAATCACAATCAACTACATGAACCATAAAGCAATCAAACATAAAAGAAGAAAGGGAATACAAATTTCATATGGAAAGTAACAGAAATCAACCGATTGAAGAATTTCAGCGAAGAAAATAAGAGAAAGTAGTACAAGTACATGCGATGGAGGAAACCATGAACGAAAAAAAGCTTGAGTAGACGATCAAACTAAACAGGGAAGAGAATCGGAGAAGCAAAGAGGAGAAGAGAGCTATGTTTCGTAGAAGAAGAGGAATTTATTGCTTACACTCTTCCTCCTCCTTCTTCCGTTGCCGGGAAATTACACAAACGAGCGAGAGAGAAAAAAAAAATGAAGGAAACCGAATTTTATTTTTTTTATTTTTAAGGGTGAAGCAGAGAGACAAAAGGGTATTTATGAAGTAATTACAATTAAAAGTACGTAAATTATTTAATTAGAGTCTATAATTTTTTTGAAAATCGTTTTTTCCGGCATCAGGCTAAAGTGCCTAACCGTTGACACGAACCCAAACCAGCTTTGATAAATGATGACATTTATAATTTGTTTTCAACTCTAAAATAAAATGTTGACATCTAACATCTGATATGTAAATGTTCTTACACGAGTTTTATTCATCGATTATATCAAACTTTATTGCTAATAGAA